ATGGCGGGTTCCTCGAAACCTATCAAAAGTCGACTTTTGAGAGTTAACGTCTTATGTATTTTTGCACATATCTTGATGTCTTCTAACACGTCAGAAAATATTAGACTAAAGTAAATCGGCAAAAATGAAGGAAATCAGATTTATCTTAAAGAGTTCGTGTGCAGAAAACTCTACTTAAATTGCCTTTTAATAAATTAAAATCTTAGCGAATTATTCGAATACTTCCATATTTCAGTAAATATTTCAATAACTAACCATATGAAATCAACTGAAAGATATAGAAAATAGCCGGAATTGATCAATATTATCAATTTTATGAAAGATAACAGGGAGTTTGAGGAGAAATTAGGGAAATAACAAATCGATTTCAAATCTCACACTTCAAATCCTTCTACTGAAGAATAGCAATTTTAACTTTTGCTAGTTTTCGAAGCACCCGTCGATTACTGCTTGTTTGTTGGTTCCACACACACACACACACACACACATACAGAGTAAAAGGATCAATCAAATCATTGCAGAAATTAAGGTCAAAATGTTTGTGAATTAATTTGTAATATTTCATGAGAATTTCATCTGTGATGTCTAGTAAAAAAAACTCATAAATAATATCGGCAAAATTAATCAATATTCCTGGTGAAAATGAAATGGATAGACAGGAAAATTAATTAATTACAATTCCGTACAAATGTGTTGGGCCTCTTTGGAGAGGATGAGATTGCCGAGGGGCATCCAAGTCGTCCAAATGAAATGTTATTATTCGTGCTAATGAGAAGAACGAGAGGGATTTTATTCACTTACTTGAGCATGTAATTAATTAACAATGATTTTCACTAATTATTCGACCAAAGTTTGATTAGATTGTCGTCTTTAAATTAATTTGTAGCCCCGCAGGAAGACACCGAAAAAAATGTAATGCATGTTTGATTAGCAGGGAATGACGTATTGCGAGTGGTTTCTTGTGATCGGTGATCCATTTGAGGAATTAGACATTATGTTCTATATAAGGAGGGCCAAACGAAAATGGTCAGACTTGGCCATATTGAGACGCCAAGTCTCATTATAAAATCATGAACTTTGTTGGTTGTTTGGTCAAAAGAGAGCTGGAGGACTATAAAAAAGACGCGAGGAAAGGGAGAGAGACACGTATATAAACTGGCAAGCGGAGAATCATTGCTCTCCAAGCATACAATGAACGTGGATGAATACATCCGCATGGCTCTTATTCACTCCAGTCCGGGGATGTTGGATGGAGGAAGAGAGGAGACATCCATCAACATCTTGAATTCGGCAAAGGTAGAAAACGAGAGCAGATGTTTGGGAGAGTTTTGACCAAGAAAAACATACCCAAAAATCGGTGAATGTCTGTGTGCAATTGCTGGGGGATTCATCCCGTCTTTTTGGCTGTGAAAGGAGCTTTGTGTGTGTGCATGCGACGAAATTCAGTGGAAGAGACACGAGAGCAAAAGAACAAATCACTTTGATGATGTTGAAAAAATAAACAGCATCCATATGAGGCGCTATTATAATGGGAATCCTAGAAAAGACATGCTTGTGTTGAGAGAAGCGAGAAATTTACATTCAGGTCCTCTGTGTGACACACTATAGCTGGCGAACGTGGGCGGAGAGAGACTTTTGAGACACATGAAAAGTACGAGGAGCGATTCCGCTGTAATTAAATGTAAATAAATCGTGCAAGAACTGATGACAAGGAGCTCCACTCGGAATCTTTGCCCTAAAAAAGTGAGCGAACAACAATAAACAATCTGGGTGGAATAAAGTTGATCTCTTAATTGTCAAGTGTGTGCTGTATTTCTTAACACTTCAATTAATCACACCATCGCCGGGCCAATTTGGAGACAAACACAGCTCCGTGTGCAAAATGTGGCCGCACTGTGGCTGATAAACTTCACTCACTTATCGCACCGAGGGCTGATATCGAATAAATCTCGTCTGTTATGACACTACAGATGATCAAGTCAGCATCCAATTAGTTGGAAAATGCTCCATTCTCCAATTAATTGGCTCTTGGACTTGGGCAAATCTGCTCCAAAACGTCCAACCTGAGCGCAATCGCAGCGGGTTGTCGTCTAATCGAGCGTGGAGGAATTTAATGAAATCGTCAGATATTTAATCACTCTTCCAGTTGATGGATCAACAAGAAAATCTTCCATGGGCTGAAAACAATAAACACCGATTCACTGATTCTTTTCTCCTCTCTCTCTCTCTCCATCCATTCCGAATGGGCGCAAAAATAGAAACAAATGGACGATGGAATTGGTGAACAAGAGTGCACGATAACAGGGCAATTAAGTTAATTTTCAGTGGGAATAGTTAAGTAAATCCCATGTGAAAGTCGTCAAAATGGATTTGTTGGCAACAATTTCAATTCTGCCCTCAAATATTTGTAGTTCTAAAATCTCGTGTGCACGATGGCGCAAAAGAATTTAATGTGAATTATGAAATTTCCCCATTGTCATTAACTCGGATGCTTCATCATGGAATATATCTCAATGGAATGGAAAATTGAGTTGTATTTCTGTGCTCCTCCAATTACACTAATGCTTGTCATTATCCATATTATACAGGCACATGCGAGATATGTTTACGCACTTCATTTCGCCAAACGATTATTTCTTTTTCCTCACATTAATCCGAATGTTATTTGAGATAATCTGCTGAATTATTGCAACATTTGCACGAACATTCAAATATACAAACTGTGATTAAGTTTTTGGCACATTCAAATCCTTTTTAATGCCTTTGTGCCCTGCAATTTGAAAAATAAGCTAAACAAAACAGAAAGGCTTCTTTTTTTTAATCTAAAAACTCGAAAAAGCACCGAAGAGATTTGTTTCGTAAGTACAAAGTTCTTAATCAGTTCGTCCTGAAGTCAATTTACATATTTTCTTAGCGCCATATTCCACTTACTTCTTTTCGCTTGAAAGTTATTGACAAGTATGTCATCGATAATGAGTTTTATCACTCTTTTAGGAAAAAATAGATAAAATTGTAAGTCCAAGAACTAATTAACCTATATCAGTTCTATTCTTCCCAGAAATGGTGTTGAAAAAGAAAACGGAAATTGCACACAATTCGAATCGATAAGTATCGGTAAGTGAAATAACTTACCGACACTCCAACTTTGGGGGATAATTCCTTCGGAGGATTGAAAGATTCTGACTATGATTGCTCTTTTTGGCTATTCTTGTCTATATCCTAGCTTTGAAATACACTGTGAAATCTTCAAGAATCGTGTTTAGTAGCTTTTGGAAAATTTATATTGCGTCAGGATAATCTTTGAATTTTGAATGCATGACCAGAGGGCTGAGTCTTGAAAATGGTCAAAATCAGAATCAACAAAACCTCATCGATTTTTAACTTGTTGACATGATCACAATTTTGAAAGTTTCGTGAGTCTTGAGTCAAAATCAGCCTTCGGAATTTTTCGGGAGGGGAAATGCTTTCGGAACGCAGGCAGAAACGTCATTTTGTTGTTTTGATTTGAGCCAAGTTGAGGTGTTTGAGGCAGAAAATGATAAAAATGCTCCTCAAACTTAACTTTTACCCCAAGGAATTATCCTGGGGTGTCTGCCCACGCCTTAAGAAGGCTAAAATTAACCCTCGGGCGACAAATATGTGAATAATGTGCATTATTAACATACAGATGTTCTCCTGCGGTTATACGAGAAGTCCCAGGAGCAGAATGGGACTTCTGCGAGTGATCTTGAGGTGCCCCACGAGATGGGGATCGACTTCCTCCCCTTTGCAAAAATTTCTCCATCCATTTTTTTTGTTGAACCAATTGTTCATCTTCTGATTACACTTGGATTTGTACTATCTGTCCACATGTTCAGTTTATTGATTCATAATTCATGAGACTTAAGCACTAAGCAAAGGGCGAAGAATTTGGGAATTCCATCCAATTAAAGATACCTTCAAAACTGAAAATGTTTATGGCAAGGATTATGCATGACATAATAAAATTTGGATTATCGTTGCCTCGACACTGCAAAGAGGGACTCTCAGGAACTCAGCGCGCATGGAAAGAAATTATTTTCCGTCTCTGAGCCTCTTACGCGAGCGCAAGAAAAGAGATGCTTATATCTCAGCAATAATAAGGAAAATTATCAATATAAAATAAAAAAACAATTAGAATAATTATTCTATTATCCATTTCCGATGCCATCGATGGCCATTTGATACTCTAATTGAAGTAAAATCTTAAAATTGAGACATTGAGCAATCGTGTTGACTCGATGTTCTCATGTCAACAAGAGTTGATTGATTTTGAGCCAATTTTGACTCGGTTTCTGACTGATTTTTACTCAAGACTCGCAAATTTCTCAAAATCAGTCAATTTCCACTGATTCTGATTTTGACGAATTTCAAGACTCAGCCCTCAGATCAAATATCTCTGATTTTCTGTTCTGGGAATTCCTAAGCAAAATGTCTGCTTCCTGGATTACTTATTCTCGAGAATTATGGATCCATATTGCTAACACTCTTGCGTAATTATTCTCCCCTGCATCCTGTTCCCCAGCTTCTTGAGTCTCCGTGGTGACGCCACTTTGCACGAACAAACCATTGTTGGGGAATGCATAGCAAATGAATTTGTATGATTTTCCAATAATCCATTTCAACTCAATTTCCCCGTTTTCGGTTGGTTTTACCAGCAAACATGATCAAGTGCAGCGCACTCGGGAAATGGCATTGCTAGAGTTGCTCTTGTAAATTGTATTTGTACAGTGTGTGTGTAGGCAAAGGGATGAAATCCAATGTCCTGCAGGAGTTGCCAAATCATTGGAAATTACTCCACAGCATTATCAAGTGGCATCACTCATTCCATTTGATCAATATTTATATACAGAGTGAAATGGATGAGGCGCACTGCCGACTGTTAATTCTTACCCTCATGCTCATCATGAGGGGCATCAATTCTCATTGACGCGATGTACAACCAGGGGTGACTCTCGTCAAACATTGTGGGCAAGACTCACCAGCGAGAAGAAGCAGCAACATGCCCGCGTTGAGACGTTTCTTATCCATTTCCGCGTTGCCGAAGGCGGCACACCAGATCGACGGGAGTCCGCTTGAGTCCTTGGGCCGAGTGTCTTTTGTCCTAGTGTCCTTTTATGGTTATGCCTCTTATACACAATACACCGAGGGTAGTTTTGGCAGTCGCGATGGTAATTTTGAGGAGGGCCAAAATGTTACGAATTGGTATTCTTTGGAAGCCATGCCTCTAATTTCTCTCTCTCTCACACACACACACGCGGGCACAGGCACTGTCACCCAGGGGTGGCTCTGCGCCCCCCGAGGAGGCCGAGGAGAGGCCTCTCCTTCGCACTCACTCACACACACTCGAATCACTCTCGAGGGTTGATTCTGCTCTGCCACGGAATTTCAAGGCGATCTCAGAGAATCAATGCAGAGTTTCGTGGGTTCGTCCCAACCCCCAGAATTCAATGGGGGTGAATCTCTTTCACCGAACACAGTCCGTCACGCGTTGGACACTGCCAATGAGTGATTGTGGTGTGAAGCAGAGAAGCTGTGACTGAGTAATCCGACGAGCCGTGCGCGAAATGTCCACCCAGCACAGATGCCAAATCTCTACTGAGCCGATGTGGGTCTCTCTCGTGGACTCTGATGGTATTCTTCCCGAGCATTGCCTTTCTGGTGCGTCGCTCGACGTACAATCACTCGGCGGCGCAGTGAGAATCATCGACTCACACCATCAAACACGGCGACGAGATCCCTAAACCGTATTTCGGAAACACCCTCAAACGTCTCCCGATTCTTCTCGGCAAAATCAATACTCCTCTCCCTCGCCAAAACCCGCGAGCAATCAATGACTCTGACACACACACAGCCGCGACTCTCGGCGATGAAATCATGGCATTTAGATGCACTTTGCATCTTGTCGTGTACTCAAGGCATTTAACCATCTCTTTTTTTAACGCGAGCAGGCGCCATAGTAAATTTAAAACCACTCTCACGCACACAACCTCAAGCTGAAGAACCACGATGTTGGACAATTTCTTCTTTTTCTCCTTCCCACCCAAGTTGCACACCATCTTCATCGACAAATCGATCTTTATTCAGCACGCACTCAATCCCATGTGCCTGTTATGCCGAGCTTCGACTTGATGACTTCGCCGAAACCTTTGGCCCCAGCCTCGTTCTCCTCGAACCCAGTCAGAGATTCACATCTTTTATACCAGGCAGCCAAGTTGGTGTACTTGCTCACGTTCGCTCCGGCGTGAACAAACGTCGAGTATGTAGCTAAAAGCCCTAGATCGGCCAGAGTCGGCTTGTCTCCAGCAAACCAATTCTGTCCATTCAGGAAGGTGTTCATGAACTCAAGGGATTGGTAGAGATCCTTCCTGTGTTCTTCATTCACCTCTTTCACGTCAAGAAATATAATGGGGAACTGAAAAATAAATCCTTGCATTAGTAATTACATCCACAATTGCATTGCGAGAACTTACAAATATATTCCGAGCTTTTGGATAGAGATTGGAGGCGTCAAAGTACAAGCGAGAATCAACAATTGCTCGGATTTTCGGGTCATTAGGATACAGAGAATTTCCTGGCGCTTTGGAGTTCACCAGGTAAGTGGAAATGGCGCGAGATTCCCACAAAACGAAGCCATTGTCGTCGAGAGTCGGAACAGTGTGTTGAGGATTGATCTTCACGAACTCTGCTGACATTTGAGCCTTGTTCATTAAGTCGATCTCGACGATCTATTAAAAAATCCAGATTTTTAGTGTTCCTTCCCAATTTTGACTGTTATTTCTCTGGTTTGTGTGAAAAATAAAAAATCTTCCCACTTGAAAACCCAGAATTATGTATAATTTACTGTTATCAGCGACTTTCTAGGTACATTTCCCACGAAAAGTCCAAGTATTAAATTCAACATGCTTGATAATGTGATCCACGAGGATGATAGCAACTATTCTCATGACTATTTAACAGAATTCATCATTTCTCTAATAAAATGAACCGAATGAACAGAATTCCTCCGTTGGTTATTTACTCTTTTAACCCACACAAACTTTCACTGATCATTTCTCGTTTAGCGCGTTACAGCGTTTCATGCATACAAAGTCACTAAACTTACCTCAACATCGAGTTTGAGATTCCGGATGGCCAGAAGGGCCCCACGAGAGGGAGCACTGATGGGGAAATGGTACAACTTCAGCGGAGCCATTGCGCTGTTTGATGAGAAAGAACAGAGTCGCATTAAGAATCATTAGGAAATCACTTCTAGTGAAAAAATGGCCTTGATATTAAGTAAGAAGACATCTTCAGAAAAAAAAACATTATTCAACTCACTTTCAATGAAAATTCACCGGTTGGGGGATCAAAAAGAACTCGTTTGATAGAACTTGGTTAACGCCTCACCAAAGACTAACCAAAGTGTATAGCGACTGAAGTAAATATAGTGACTTGCCTCTGTATTTTTGATAATCATCTCCCACTTCGCTGGCTTCCATCTCATTCGCGCAGTAGTTAATCATTGGAGAAGTGAGGAAGAAAGAGTGCTTCAGGGAGGCATTCGTCATTCCAGTTGAAGTCTATTTGGTGGGCCAAACAAAAGGAATCGATTGCGGTGCTCAGATACAATCAAGAAGTTCCACTGAGGCTCGGCCAGGAGCAATTATGTGGCTGTCTAAATGCGAGATATTGTACATTTACGTATGTGTAATTCAAGGCAAATGCGGGCCTGTTGCGGCTGTTTGAGTGCTTAATGGTGTTGAGCCGGCTTCTGACTCAAAACCATGACAAGGCGATTAGTCCACGGGTACATAATTATATTTATTCATATGTACAAATAATCGACGCCGGAAAGGAAATTTCTGTCCTTCGATGACCCAAATTTGTACAGGAGTCCCAAAAGTTTGAGCCTGAAAGTTTCTCATGTTAACTTGCCGTTGTTGCATCGTCACATTCCAGATGGAACTTTATGCAAAGTCATGAACGCATGATCGCCAAGTATGACAAGTTACTTGAGAATAAATGTAAAATCATTTCTAGATTCTTCTGCAATTGCGAAATTGCGCGAAGCAGACAAAAACGCCAAAATTATTTCCTGCTTTTGCTCAGTAAAAAGTTTAACAATCAAATAGGAATTTTTGCTATCAAATAATTGTCAATTAAATACTTGTCAACTGCTTTTGTGTATTAACAGATAATTTATTGAAGAAACATTCATTATATGCAATGACACCTTCATAAATTTTCAATCAATAAAGCTCGCACACAATCGACTCATAAAGCTTATAAAAATTCTACTCACAATGTTAATTATGCAGAGACTCTAGTCTAATAAATAGTAGAACAATGTCATACAAAATGCCATTTCATCCTATTTTGTCTGTCTTTTGATAAAATCTTGAGATAGTGAGATAGCTATTCTCATTCTTATTATTAGCATTGCTTAGTTAGAATGATATAAAAGCTCCTAATCTCAGCCTCCCACAATCAGTTTAGATTAATCTGTTGGACAAGCCATGGCTCCTCTCAAACTGTATCATTTTCCCGTCAGCCCTCCGTCGAGAGTGGCTTTCCTGATTGTGAAATATTTGAAAATTGACGCGGAAATAGTGATTGTCGATCTATTGAATAAGGGCCAATTAGCGCCAGATTTCGTGAAGATTAATCCTCAACACACAGTACCAACAATTGACGATAATGGATTCATTCTCTGGGAATCTCGCGCCATCGCAACTTATCTGGTATCTTCCAAGGCTCCAGGAAACTCTCTTTACCCGACAGATGTGAAGAAGAGAGCGGTTGTGGACGCAAGATTATTTCTTGATCAAGCCTTGCAATTAGCAGCCACTGAGGTTATGGTAAGATTAGGAAATCTACAGATAAATTTTAGAGGTTTGTGGATTTTTTTTTAACTTGTTGACCTTGAATAGTATCCTATTCATATGGGCGCAACAACGATTCCTGAGGACAAGAAAGAGAAGGTTTACAAGATTCTAGGACACTTTAATACTTTCCTGGAGGGAAAGCAGTTTGCTGGTGGAAATGATCTGACAGTAGCTGATCTGGCTCTTTTGGCTACAATTTCCAGTCTTAATGTGAGTTAACTAGACAGAAACATACACGGATTTTGTGTACTAATTTTTGTGTGGTTTGACTAGGCAATTGGAGCCAATATCAAGAAATTCAAGAACATCTCGGCTTGGTACAAGAAATTGGAATCTGTGCCTGGTTTCCAGGAGAATGAGGAACAGTCTAAAAACCTGGGAATGTATATCAAATCGAAAGTTCAGATGACCGGAACTTGGGATGACTAGGCAAGATCCAAATTAAGTGCACAATTCTTCATCAGTTTTATGTACTCTATATTCACTCTTATATAGAAATTGTGTGCAAGTAGAAAAGTCAGTATCATAATGTTGGTGAATATTGTTATTATTTTTATTCTCTCCTATCAGTAGAAGTATTCATGTAATTGATAGGACAATATAATATATAAGCTCTCTGAATTCCCATAAAGTTCAGTTCTATTTAATCGCTTGAAGCGGAACGTCTATTCTGGTGCAACATAAAACATTTTGGCAAAATGGCTCCTCTTAAATTGTATCACTTTTCTGCAAGTCCTCCTTCCCGATTCGCTCTTCTAACCATCAGGAACTTGAAATTGGATGTGGACATTGTTGTCATAAATACATTAAATAAGGAACAATTTGCACCAGAATTCGTGAAAACCAATCCTCAACACACAGTGCCAACAATTGACGACAATGGATTTATTCTGTGGGAATCTCGCGCCATCGCAACATACTTGGTTTCTAATAAAACTCCAGGAAGTTCTCTTTACCCAACAGACGTGAAGAAGAGGGCTGTTGTGGATGCTCGATTATTTCTGGATCATGAACTGCAAATGGCGTTTTTGGAAATGCTCGTAATGCATAAATTTTGCTAACAAAAATGTATCCAGTATAATGTCCAAATTGTTTTCAGTACCCAATCTACAGATTAGGAGAAACAGAAATTTTGAAAGCTCAAAAGGTGAAGATGTACAAAGTTCTGGGGAATCTAAACACCTTCCTTGAGGGACAAAAGTACGTCGCAGGAAGTGAATTGACTCTTGCCGATCTCGCGCTTCTGGTCACTGTCATATCAATTCAGGTGAAAAATCATTGTTTTATGGTGAAGGTGGCGAAGAGTACTTTATCAATTCATATCTCATCTTTTATTAGGAAGTCGGCGCGAACATCAAAAAGTTCAATAACATTACAGCCTGGCTGAAAACACTAGAATCTGTTCCCGGTGCTCAGGAGAATCTCGAAGGCGCTCAATTCTTTGGTAACTTCATAAAGTCTAAGATTGATTGGAAGCAAAATTGGGAAGATTAAACTTGAATACTTTGATGTACATTTTGTGAAGGAAAAATAAAGATAAAGTTAAAGTGACTGCATGCGTCAATTGGGATGTTCTGAATGGTTATGTAATATCTGCCTGAAGCAGTGATTTCTTATCATTTGGCTGTGTTTTTATCTACTCATTACTCAAATTAGTATAATTATTTACTGTCTATTCTGATTATCACAACATAAAAGTTTTAAAGATCTTCAGCAGCCAACATGTTAGAATATTTGATACATTGTCGCACACTTATATAAAACCCAACCGTGTTATATATTTTACTCAGTGTAAATTTTTAAACATGTTGATAAAAAAAAGTGGGAGTCATGTATCTTAATGTTTGTGAATCATATCATCACATACAGAAAGAAGCATCGAGAAACACAACAGCACTTTTTGGTAAAATGCCGTTTCATTCTCTTTTATCGCTACAGATATTTACGAGATTGTAGATGTAACTGATGGGGAAAATGATATAAAAGCTCTGACAATGCTCAAAACGATCAGTTTCGAGTAAGCTTTTGCAAACCGCGTACTTCAGTTTTTGTGTGAACGAAACGAAAAAAACTAATCGGAAAAATGGCTCCTCTTAAATTGTATCACTTTAACGTGAGTCCTCCCTCGCGTCTGGCACTGTTGGCCATCAGGAACTTGAAGTTAGATGTGGAAATTGTCGTCGTGAACACAATGAACAAGGAACAAATGACACCGGAATTTATGAAGATCAATCCTCAACACACAGTGCCAACAATTGATGATAATGGATTTTACCTCTGGGAATCTCGCGCCATCGCTACATATTTGGTCTCTTCTAAGGCTCCAGGAAGCTCTCTTTACCCAACAGACGTGAAGAAGAGGGCTGTTGTGGATGCCCGTCTATCCTTGGATCACGATTTGCAAAAAGCCGCAGGCGAAGTTATGGTGAGTTTTATTAAAATATTGTATCTCAATATCGTATAATTCTACTATTTCCAAAATTATCCAGTATCCCATCTATGCATTGGGAGCTACCACCATTCCCGAGGACAAGAAAGAAAAGGTGTACAAGATTCTGGGCAATCTGAACACTTTCATGGAAGGACAACAATATGTGGCCGGAAATGAATTGACAGTTGCTGATCTGGCTTTTCTGGTCAATGTATCGACTCTTTATGTGAGTTTGCAAAATCTTATCATTCAATTTTACCACAAATTATGACAAATTCTTCTTTCTTCAGGAAATGGGCGCCAATGTGAACAAATTCAAGAACATCGCTGCTTGGTACAAGAGACTCGAATCGATTCCTGGTTTCCAGGAGAATCTTGAAGGCGCTCAACTGCTCGGAAATTTCTTAAAACCAAAGTTGGATTTGAAGGGAACTTGGGATGATTAAATATCAATAAAAGTATTATTACAATAAAAAAAATTCACATTTTATTCAAGTGAGAGTTCTTTTAGGAAATAAGTACAATAGACAATTGACACTTTGCCGGACAAAGTTTCTTTCCACCGAAATGAGAGAACTTGACCAAATAAAAGAGTGAAAGAGTTAATTACTTCACAGAGTGACTTGACGAAAATTTGTATGAATTAAACTCGTTGAACTTGAAATGCAGATTATCATATCTCAAATTGGCCCAAAAAAGATGTTTTTTTTTTTTTCAAACACAACCACAAATCTCTGTCCATCTCCACATTGAAAGAGCACTTTTGTATACAACGCGATGTATGAATAAGTTTGTTTGCAAGTAATCCTGAGTATCTTAATGACGAGAAGTGATATTAGAAAACCAGAAACACTTACATAATTTAGTAGTAAAACATCACTCTTGCAAGTGTTCGACTGATTGTCAATACATATAAACCAGCACTTTTTGGTAAAATGCTGTTTCATTCTCTAGTATCGTATTTTGTCGTGAGATACAGTGAGATAAGAATACATGTAAAACATAGGCAAAATGAGATATAAAAGCAACAACACCACACAAAAAAATCAGTTTCAGTCAAACTGTAGCAAAAGGTGTAACTTTATACTCGTGAAAAATGGCCACTCTCAAATTATATCACTTTCCCGCAAGTCCACCATCAAGGGTGGCTCTTCTGGCCATCAGAAACCTTAAACTGGATGCAGAAATTATCGTTCTTGACATGCTGAAAGAGGAACATTTGTCACCAGAGTTCAAAAAAATCAATCCTCAACATAAAGTGCCAACTATTAATGATAATGGATTTATTTTATACGAATCTCGAGCCATTGCCATGTATTTGGCCTCGTCCAAAGCTCCAGGAAACACTCTTTATCCAACAGATGTGAAGAAGAAAGCTGTTGTGGATTCCAGGCTATTTATGGACATGGATTTGCAGATCGCGACTGGAAATATCATAGTGAGAGTCATTAAATTACTGTGTTTTATGAGACTGAATTAATTTTCTTTAATTCATTAGCGTCCAGTCTTCTATGAAGGACTAACAAGTATTCCCGATGACAAGAAAGAGAGGATTTACAAGGTTCTGGGCAACCTTAATATATTTTTGGAAGGACAACAGTATGTGGCTGGAAACGATTTAACAGTTGCTGATCTCGCATTTCTCGCTACAATCTCGACTCTTTACGTGAGTTTGCAAAATCTTATCATTCAATTTCGCTCAGAAATCACGAGAATTCTTCTTTTTTCAGGAAATCGGCGCCAATGTCAACAAATTCAAGAACATCGCTGCTTGGTACAAGAAACTCGAGTCAATTCCTGGTTTCCAGGAGAATCTTCAAGGCGCTCAAATGCTCGGAAATTTCATAAAGCCAAAATTGAATTTGAAGGGAACTTGGGATGATTGAAAGTAATAAAGCTTAAAACAGCTCACATATTTTCTGATTATATTTATGTAAGCAGGAGTATTAAGAGTGTAAATATACAGATAAAGAAATTTCAAAAGAAAATGCTGTTTCATTATAGCTAATGCACGAATGGCACGAATACATCATATAAAGATAGCGAGTAGAAGATTAAATGAAATCATTACAAAAATTCAGTTTAAAAAAGCTCTATAATTCTACCAATACAGTCAGTTTTGACCACACCTTGCCAGAAGCCAGATCTGTTTAAGATTTTGAAAAGAAGTGTCGGAATTTAGTAAAAATGGATCCAGTGAAATTTTATTTCTTCTCACTCAGTCCTCCCGCCAGATTCAATCTTTTGACCATCAAATACTTGAAATTGAACGTAGAAATTATTATAGTGAATTTACGAAACAAAGAACAATTTTCGCAAGAGTTCTTGAAGCTCAATCCCCAGCACACAGTGCCTGCAATTGACGACAATGGATTTATTCTGTGGGAATCTCGCGCCATTGCAACATACCTGGTTTCTTCCAAAGCCCCAGGAAACTCTCTTTACCCAACAGACGTGAAGAAGAGGGCTCTGGTGAATAATCGATTGTATCTGGATCATGAACTGCAAATGGCATTTTTGGGAATGGTGGTAATGTATCAGTTTTATTTGCAAGTTCCTTATAGAACATTGAAATAAAACATTCGACGATTTTCCAGTATCCTGTCTACAGTATGGGAGGCAAAGAAGTTTCCAAATCCCAGAAAGAAAAGATGTACAAAGCTCTTGGAAACCTGAACACCTTCCTTGAAGGACAAAAATATGTTGCTGGAAGTGAATTAACTCTGGCTGATTTGGCTCTTCTGGCAACAGTCGTATCAATTCAGGTGAGTTATCGCTGTTATGTTAAAGATTACATTATCCATTTTTCCCTTCGCTCTATCAGGAAATGGGAGCGAATGTCAAAAAGTTCAACAACATTACAGCCTGGCTGAAAACATTAGAATCAGTTCCTGGTGCTCAGGAGAATCTTGAAGGCGCTCAATTGTTCGCGAACTTTATCAAATCCATGATTGATTTGAAGCAAACTTGGGATGATTAAAGAGAAAATTTTGTATGCAAAATTTCGTAAGGTAAAAACAATGGAAAAGTTTTAAGTAAAAAATGCTTCATTTACAGTTTTTGTCCTTCTTCAGAAAATAGGATCAATGAGAAAATATTAAAGAATATTTCTACTTTGGTGCAAGAAATTCGAATGAATAAAACAACTTCGGATGATTGATTGTACATTCAAATTTTAAATAATCCACATATTTTTTTATATACAAATCCATGCATGCAGAACTATCAAGCAGAGCACGAATACATTGATATGATATAATTAGAAAATTGCTGTTTCACTCCTACTACCACACGAACACATTATTACTAGAGATAGTGAATAGAGTCACTCTGAATTAAAAAATTTAGTGTATAAGAGCACTAAGATTCTAGCAACACAATCAGTTTTGGCCACACCTCGTCAGAAGCCGGATCTTCCAGTGATTTTCAGTGATTTTTTAAGTGTAATAATTCAGGAAAAATGGCTCCAGTGAAATTTTATTTCTGTTCTCCAAGTCCTCCGGCCAGATTCAATCTAATGGCCATCAAATACATGAAGTTGGACGTGGAAATTGTCGTGGTGGATTTGTTGAATGGGGAGCAACATTCGCCAGAGTTTTTGAAACTCAATCCTCAACACACAATTCCAACAATTGACGATAATGGATTTATTCTGTGGGAATCTCGCGCCATCGCAACATACCTGGTTTCTTCCAAGGCTCCAGGAAGCACTCTGTATCCAACAGATGTGAAGAAGAGGGCTCTGGTGGACAATCGACTATATCTGGATCATGAGCTGCAAATGGCATTTTTGGGAATGGTGGTAATGTATCAGTTTTATTTGCAAGTTCCTTATAGAACATTGAAATAAAACATTCGATGATTTTCCAGTATCCAGTTTACAGAATGGGCGCAAAAGAAGTATCCAAATCTCAGAAAGAAAAGATGTACAAAGCTCTAGGAAACCTGAACACCTTCCTCGAAGGACAAAAATATGTTGCTGGCAGTGAACTAACTCTGGCCGATTTGGCTCTTCTGGCAACAGTCGTATCAATTCAGGTGAGTTATCGTCTTGGTTATCGGTATTTTACATTGATAATTACTTTATTCGCTCTTCTCTTCACTTTATCAGGAAATGGGAGCGAATGTAAAGAAGTTCAACAACATTACAGCCTGGCTGAAAACATTAGAATCAGTTCCTGGCGCTCAGGAGAATCTTGAAGGCGCTCAATTGTTTGCGAATTTTGTCAAATCCATGATTGATTTGAAGCAAACTTGGGAAGATTGAGGTGAAAAACTTTGTACATGATCTAAAGCGATAATAAAGATAATTGGTAATAAGATAAATGCTTCATTTTCAGTATTTATATGGTTGTGTAATCGTCGGTGTTACGATTTTATTCATATCAGTTTGAGTTTTGAAATCATTTATCAATACACTTTTTTATGTAGTATCTATTTTATCGGTATATACAGAGAGATTTATATGAATTCTTTATATGGAAGTGAAAATTATCCCCTCCAAATACAGCAGCAATATTTCAGTAGAATTCAACACTTCATTCCCAGCATCGCTTGACTTATTACAGCTAAGCAGCAATAATAAAAAATTGTTATTGTCATAGTGAGAAATTGCCCAACTCAGTGGTATTTTGGTACCAACACAGTCAGTTCTCAATAGATACCTCCAGAAGCAAGACGTGCCCGTAATTTCGGATAACAAGTCGCTGAAAATGGCCCCGCTGAAATTTTATCACTATCGTCTTAGTCCTCCATCCAGGCTAGTCCTGCTGACCATCAGGAATCTGAAGCTAGACGCGGAAATTGTCGTGGTGGACTTGCTAAAGGGAGAACACTTGGCACCAGAATTCGTGAAGGTCAATCCTCAACACACAGTGCCAACAATAGACGATAATGGATTTGTTTTGTGGGAATCTCGCGCCATCGCAACGTACCTGGTTTCTTCCAAAGCCCCAGGAAGCTCTCTTTACCCAACAGACGTGAAGAAGAGAGCTGTTGTGGACGCAAGATTGTATCTGGACCAAGAATTGCAGATTGCTTTTGGAGGAATTGCAGTAAGATAATTTTTTTTAAATTTATTATCAGCTCAGTTTAACATAAACCTTGACATAAATCTTTTTTCAGTATCCCATCTTAGCTCTGGGAGCAACGGAAATGCCTAAGGACAAAAGAGAGAAGGTGTTCAAGATTCTGGGGAATCTGAATGCATTCTTGGAGGGACAAAAATATGTCGCTGGCAGTGAATTAACTGTGGCCGATTTGGCTCTTTTGTCAACTATGGCAGGCCTTCAGGCAAGTTTCATTACATTAAAATATCAATAGTTAATCATTCAATTCTTCATTTGATTTCAACAGGCATCCGGTGCGAACCTCAGCAAATTCAGTAACGTTTCGGCCTGGCTGAAAAGCCTAGAATCAGTTCCCGGTGCCGAAGAAAATCGGGATGGAGCTCAATTCTTTGGAAACCTCATCAAATCTAAGATCAATCTAACAGGAACTTGGGAAGCTTAATTTGTATTTTTTCGGTGTTGTATTTTTTTGAGGGGAAAATAAAGAAAGCGCACAGGTGTTCAATTTGAAGTTGTATGAAGCAGAGATTACATTCTTATCAGTTTGTGTTTTATCACTCATTTACCACTCATGATTGCTTAGACAGTATTTATTTGATATGCATTTATTCACGTGCAAGCTTCATGAGGGAAAGTGGATTAATCCTCTTTAAATTTATATGGAGTAGAGTTTGTCATGATGGATTATGTTCAGATAACAAAAAACCTATTCTCATTGCTTCCAGCAAAAAAAATAGCGAAAAAACTCTTCACTTTAGGTTGATTGTATTGAAGGTGAACCTCTTTGTATTAGTATTTTCTTCGAAAAACCACCTAAATACCTGCTAAAAATATGTGGTTCTTCAATCGCGCGCAGTGAAGTAATAATTGGGGAGTCAAGAAGTATTTGTGCGGAAAGTTAAAAGTTTGAACTCATCGCGCATGATTCACCAATGCAGAATCACCGAAAGCACAACAGCACTTTTTACTAAAATGCCATTTCATGACTGAGATAATAAATGATATATAAAAGCCTCTACGAAGCCCACAACAATCAGTTTTGGTAAAACTGTGCCAAAAGGTGAATCGCCGTTCAATTCTCACGCGAAAGAAGTGGTGAAAAATGGCTCCTCTCAAATTGTATTACGCGCCTCCAAGTCCACCCTCACGAGCTGCTCTTCTCACCGTCAGGAACTTGAATCTTGATGTGGAAACTATTAAAATAGACTTGATGAAGAAGGATCAAATGTCACCAGAGTTCACAAAAATCAATCCTCAGCACACAGTGCCAACAATTGACGATAATGGCTTTGCTTTGTGGGAATCTCGCGCCATCGCCATGTATTTGGCCTCAGCCAAGGCTCCAGGAAACACTCTTTATCCAACAGATATGAAGAAGAGAGCTGTTGTGGATTCCAGGCTATTTATGGACATGGATTTGCAGATCGCCGCTGGATACATTATGGTAAATTTCAACACTTCATAGGCATTCCCGGCTTCTACACATTTTCTAAACACTTTCAGTATTCTATTTACGCATTGGGAAGTACGACAATTCCTGAGGATAAGAAGGAGAGGGTGTACAAGATTCTGGGCAATCTGAACAATTTCATGGAAGGACAACAATATGTGGCTGGAAACAACTTAACAATAGCTGATCTTGCTTTCCTAGCCACAATCTCGACTCTTTATGTGAGTTTGCAAAATCTTATCATTCAATTTCGCTCAGAAATCACTAGAATTCTTCTTTTCTGCAGGAAATCGGCGCCAATGTGAACAAATTCAAGAACATCGCTGCTTGGTACAAGAGACTCGAGTCAATTCCCGGTTTCCAGGAGAATCTTGAAGGTGCTCAATATGTCGGGACTTTTCTAAAGCCAAAGTTGAATTTGAAGGGAACTTGGGATGATTGAATGTAAATAAAGTGATTAGAATATCAATGCAACCAATAAACCACAGTGTTTATACAAAAAAAAACTGTTTCATCCGCATCATCGCTTCACTGATTCTCTGTTTCAGTGTATTTTATCGTGAGAAAATACACTGAAATATGTAGTCATCGTATAAAAGCTTAAAGTCTTCACCCACACATCAGTTCTGATTACACCGCGACAAGTCCACCATTCTAATTAGACTTTTTGACCATTGGGCACCTGAAGTTGGAGGTGGAAATTATTTCAGTGGACTTTCTAAAGCAACATCAATTATCACCTGAGTTTAGGTGGGCTCTCAAAATTGTCCCTGAAGTACTTCCTAATGAAGAAACTTTGTGGGAAGAGAAGCGGCGAGAAGGATAATAATGTGTCCAAGCAGAAGAAGTCAAATTAGACTGCGATGTTTTGTCCGCAAAATAATACATTGTATATTCAATATAACATTGCAATAGTTACAAATCTATCCAAGTACACAAAACAGTTACACTTTATCAACAGCTCTTACCATTATACTTTGTGCTCTCTTCCTGCCCCTCAGTCGATGTTGAGGCGCACGTCGTTGAGGTTCTGCGTCGCCTCCCACGTGCTGTGCAGATTTTTGAGTCGCCTGTAGGCGCGCATTGATATGTTGAGACTGGGCATCACCTCCAGCACGCCGGGCTCATCCACGAAGCTCAGCCCGCAGATGCCGAAGTACGTGTGAAAAGGATCAGTGTTGAATGCTGGCCACTTGGAAAATCCGCCCACGACGCGATTCTGCGTGGACAGAATGAAGTTCCGGTTCTCCTCGAAGTCCGTCAAGTGGAAAGCGTTGAGAATCTTGAGCGTGGCCGCTATCCAGAAGGAGTAGCACGTGTCCTCGGTCTTATTGGGCCTCCCCTGGAAGCCCACGCCTTGTCTCATCACCAGCCACCGCTTCATTCCCTCCAGCTCGCGGCGCGAGAGGATGTGCAGTTGATCGCTGAGGTGCAGGGCCGCCACGGCGCAGAAGGTTGTGCCTCCGTGACCCTCCATCTCCATGTGCTGACTCACACCGAAGTCATATCGCTGTGGGTGACGGAAAAAGCGGGAGATAAGAGAATTGATTTGCAGGGATTAACACACTCAGACACTGTTTTCTATGCTTAAATACTGGCGTGAAGCAAACACTTTTTTATTGACAGAGCATTTCAAGTGTAATTGAGCGTAATTTCATCTGATTAAATGAATGATTTATGCTTTAATTTAAATTTTGAGGGCCTATTTAGACATTTTTCCTGGATTCTTAGACTATAAACAGCAAAACCTCTGAACCGCAGTAAATCAATGCTCTGGAGTTATGTTCAATTTCATAATTCTGTTCATAAAAACAACAATAAAAGCTCTGGAAAAAGCGTCCTTCACTGAAAAATCCCACAAACCACAAAACCTTTCGATTATTGCCATACTCACAATGCTTTGCCGGATGTATTGTGCCATTCGCTGGCGATCCACACAGCCCCAGTCGTTGAGCATGGCACAGATCGCGGCGGCACAGTAGACGAATCTCATGTCCTGCTCGTTGCCCTCCACGGAGGCACTGAAGCTGCCATCTTCGCGCTGGACAGCCGCCACGCCCTCAACAATGGCTCTCCTGTCCAGGCGACTTAGGTCGTCTCCGAGGGCGATCAGCACAGCGATGCCAGTGTACGTCATGGCCAGGTGGCCCCAGTGGTAGGCCTCCACGGCTGCCCTCTTTCCCTGATCATCGCTCTTGATGCTCAGCGTGCTCGAGCCTTGGAATCCGCCGCACTGAAGCCCTCCCTTCGGGATCACCTGGTATCTGTAGATCCAGTCAATGATGTTCCGCCGCTGAGTGGGCGCCAGCAGCTCCAGGGAGTCTAGGACATCGAGCCCGCTGACGGCAAAGAAGGCGATCGTGACCCTGAAATACACGGAAGATCCTTGAACTTGTTTCACCAAGAATTTCCTCCACAGAGAGACTTACCGCGTAGAGTCGTGAGATGCCAATCGAGCTGGGAGGAGATTCAGGAACCTGGCAAAGTACTTGGCGTGCTTTTGAGGTAAGAAGTCCATTGTTTTGGGGGTGAAATCAGAAGAAACAGAGACTCTGGGACATAACCTCCTCCACGGTGACTCACCAAGAGTGGGAATATGCGTGCGTACAGTTCGCGAGGGGAAGTCACAGTGAGAGGAGTCTAGCTAAGCACACCATTAGTCTCCGGGACCGTAAATCACCGTAAAATGCATGTAAATAGAATTTTTATGGCTCCTCTTGCAAATTATTTGCGGTGAAATTCACACCAGGGGCGACACTGTTTCAGCAAATCGTCACGTGGAGCGCTGGCGAGCATTTTTTACACGCGATTTTGTGGTTATGAGTTCATTGTTTTGGGTGCGGTGAAAATTTCGATAAAAAGGACGAAGAAGTCACGCCAAAATGAGGATAACCAGCCAAATGCTGAAGAAAGTGCATGAACTTTCTATCAAGTACTCGAATTTTCCGGAATCCTATGTGAAGAGAGCAATGGAACAAGTGAGTTGACATGACTGCCATTCTTGGGCATTTTCTCGAGGAAATCCGTTTTTTCAGGTGGCTTGGCGCACTCCCAACGAGCCCAACTATCAGCAGAAAGTGATCGAGAGGAAGAGGTTCAGGTTCACCATGAATCGGCCGTGGACTGCCCAATTTCGGCAACAGAACTTGCCGCGCTCTATGCGGAAGAAAGTGTTCGTGGAGCCCATCGCCGAATGGTCGTTCTTCCGCGGGGATCGCGTGGAAGTGCTCGTGGGGAGAGACAAGGGCAAGCAGGGCATCGTGAAGCAGCTTATTCCTGAGAGGAACTGGGTTGTGGTTGAAGGATTGAACTGCCACTTCCGGAAGGTCGGCGCTGAGGGAGATTATCCAGGAATCTATATAAAGTCCGAGGCACCGCTGTTGGTGACAAATCAAGTGAAATTGGTGGATCCCTCGGATCTCCAAGGGACAGACATCGAGTGGCGGTACACTGAGGAGGGCGATAGAGTGCGCGTGTCCACGAGAACAGGAAGAATTCTGCCGATTCCCAAAGAACAGGAAGAGACCAACGATTACAAGACAAAGCGAACGTATGTTGAGAAGGATAAGGACACTGCATCGAGCGTGGTGGAGGAAATTACGTTCAAGCCTGCTTTGTGCACATTCGAGATGGACATCATGCGCGAAATGGGCATCCAGGAGGACAGGATCCCCAAGAAGAGCTACTGGTACTGAACAGACTCACTTGAATATAGTAAATCCATTTAATTGTTTCCCGGCGTTTTGCTATTGAATTGTTTCCTCGGAATTGTCTTCTGTCTTGTCTACTGATCCATGAGAGCATTTTGGACATTTTATTGGGCTGCTGCAGTGGCGCCGCCTGAGATAGTACTTCGTTTGACAAGCACTTCATTTGTTTGGTGGTGTTTGTCGTGTGAAGTGGCGTTTTCGCGTTTTCCCCGCAGATAATCCGCCTTTTTCGTTGTGATGAAACGCTCCCGCGGGTGAAAGAGTGGTGTGCAAGGAAAGCTAAGTGTGCAAAGTTATCGTGCAAGTCTCATGCTGGAGGAAATTAGGTGGATTAACAAGGAAATTCAAGAGGATTAATCACTCCCAACCAATACACAGGTGATTTGCATATTTCGCGTATTTGGGCGTTAACCGCGCTCTACAAATCAGTCATTAGGCGTGTTTTTCCATGCATTTCCCCAATTTTCCGATCTGAGGAAATGGAATTTACGATAATCCTCCCGAAAATGCATAGCATTTGCCACGGATTGGGATTTGCACCTGTGGATTTGGAGAGAAAATAAAAATGGGGCGTGCCGTCCAAAGAGGTCATGTTTCTCCTGATTTTGACCAATTTTCCAGGAGTTTCCCACAAATGCTAGATGCCTGGCGCTTCTAGGAGTCTAAGGGAAAGTCCAGAAGCACAAGGGCGGGGGTTATGGGGTGAATTTGCCGGATTAATTAGTGATTTAGATTCACCTTGTTTACGTCACACTCCGGACAATTGAATGGGTGAGCTTGTGTGCATTTGCCTCGAACACAGGCACACCTTTTCCCGCATAAAAACATGTCTCTTAAGAGCCGCGTGCGTTCTTTTCGTGTGAGAAATTCGTTAAGGTTCTTGATCTGCATCTCGGTTAAGAGTAGCATTTAAAAGTTGGTTTATTTTTCGATTTATTTTTACTAATTTAAGTAAGTTTGGGACTAAAGTAAAAATGAATAAGTAACTTTAGATATTCTTGAGTTGATTTTGAGAGGTGTTTGACTCATGATTTCAGTGATATTCAGAGTATTCAGATTGTATTTAAGATAATTAAAGTAGGCGGAGTATTCTAATGGGCGTGGCTTGGAGCCAAATCCTATTAAATGAGCAAATAATTTCAGTGAATAAGAACTTGTATTCAATGTCCCTTTCATTTCAAAATTCTACCATGTTTTGTTTAAATTCTCTTCCCCTGCTGAATGTGATGAAAATTGTTATCACGCAATATATTTAAAAAGTTTTACCAAATATGTGAAATATGCACACGGGGCTACGTACCTTTTCTTCCCAAAAGGGTCCCTATCGCATTAAACTAATTTATGATGGCAATATTCCCGGTATTTCGCGATATCATTCGGTGGCATTTTTTTTGTCTAACGAAGCGAAAAATTCCAAGGGGATTCGCCGGTCCTCAATTAAACGCTCGACATCACCCACTCTCAAAAGTTTTTCTAGTGCTTCACTTGCCTTTGTCATCGGCATTTAATACGTAAATTTATATTAGTCCTTCATCTAGAATTTCCGTCTTTTCAGACTAATTGAATTTCCCCTTCTTGAAGAGAGCTTTGTTGAGGAGTATTTGAAGAATTTTTCAATAAAATTAAAGACAAATATTGTGCGATAATGCTAAAGTGTGTCCCTCTTACTATAGAATAGAGTTTAATCTCAGATCTTGATATATATTTTTTTCCTATTTGTCTCTTTGCTCGCTTTTTGGCTGCTTGTCAAGAAAACGTGAATTTTTTATGGTAGCCGACATTATGCACATTGTTTCGCCACCCCTCGATTGTGCCTCGTCGCGGGGACAAAAGGCATTTTATGTGCACCGACAAATGAATGCAATTCGGGTCTTGTTTCGAGGGTTTAGTTTTCGGGATGCAGGGTGGCTTTTATAGGGTTAGATTTTAGGGTGATCTTTTGGGTGAGTTGGCAAAGTTTCTCGATCGATGACTGGAGGTTTTTATCTGGTCTCTTTCGCCAATAGCCAACTAAAATCTCCTTGATTTTCTCCCGTCTCACGAGAGGATTCTGTCGTTTTGCGTGTTTGCTGACATGTTCCGAATAAATATTGAATGAGTGCAAGAGTGAACATGAGTTGTGAGAAGAGGGAAGAGAGTGAAAGTGATTTTGATAGTGGAAGAAAGGGGGTGAATATTGTATCAAAATCCAACACGCGCCACTGAAGAGAGCTGAGGCACGAGAACCCCTCGGAAATTGTGTGTTTTATTTTAATTCATTCCAATGATGATTACATTACAGAAGGGTGTTGCGTTGAGATTTCACCAAATACTGCATTTCACCCTCAGAATTGGAAAAAGTGCAGGTTTTGTGCGAATCGCTAGGCTTCTGCCGAATTAATACTTATCAGGCGGAGGGAAGATTGTGAAGACTTGTCCTGACCACATTTGCCTATGTTCGCGATCAGCTGAAATAAGACAAATTGTTCCTTACCTTGGCGTTAGCTTTAGTAAAGTGACTTACCTTCAGCTATGAGTACAAAAATTAGAAAAATCAGCAATCCAAACTTCATTTTAAAACAGAGCTTCTATAACTAATGAATTTGATTTTTTCTGTTGAGACCTTTTATTGCAGAATCGCAGCCATTAATCAGAAAATAGTGGCGATAAATTGAACTCCTAAACCACTAAATTTTAATAACAATTATTATTATTTATTGATTCATTCCAGGCGCTTTTATCCATATCGCATCGAATAATTAATTAACTTAATGCAATTGAGTGATTTATATGTGAGAGTTTTATGCAAATTTTTAGCAATTGGTTTTTGATAAGGTCGATTATTTAAAATAAATCCATTGTAATACATTTGATGTTGAGAATTACCGTCGCAGTGACTCAAACTTCTTCATATTGAAATTAAAATCAGAACTCTTGATTTTCCTAGTTACTACCAAATCGAATTTTTAAATAATAATTGATAGAAATAGATCTCATCACCGCCAGACGCATTAAAATGCAGACTCTCAGTTAATATCAAACTCTCGGAAATTGTGTGTTTTGCTTTAATAGTTTAATTCATTCCAATGCTGATTACATTTTATAAAGGGTGTGTAGTTAAGCTTTCACTAAATTCTGCATTGTAAAGTTGAGGTTTGGTGTGAATCGCTAGCCCGTCATACTACTATTCTCACGCGGCGGGAAGAGTGTGAAGAACCAACTCTGTCTACGATCTCGATCGGCTGAAATAAGACAAATTATCCTTTATCTTGGCGTTAACTTTGAAAAAGAGTCTTACCTTCAGCTAAGAGTATACAAATAAGAAAAATGAGCAATCCAAACTTCATTTTAAATCAGAGTTTCTGTAACTTATGAATTTGATTTGTGCTGTTGAAGCCTTTTATTGCAGAATCGCAGCCATTAATCAGAAAATAGTGGCGATAAATTGAAGTCTTAAAACATCAAATTTTAATTAACTCAATGCAATTGCGTGGAGTGATTAATTTGTGAAAGTTTTATGCAAATTTTCAGCAATTGGTTTTGAAAAGGGTGATTATTTAAAATAAATATATTGTAATGCATTTAATGCTGAGATTCAACGTCGCAGTGACTCAAAGTCTAAAAATGCTTTTTGAAACTCCTTTTTCTGAAAATAAGCATCTTTTCAATTTTCAAATATCACAAACTTCTCAATATTGAAATTAAAATCGGAACTTTTTTTTCTGCGTCAATATCAAACTCTCCAAATCAAATTCATTCCAATGATGATTACATTACAGAAGGGTGTTGCGTTGAGCTTTCGCCACTGCATCAAACACAGCTTAGACAATTCACCTAACTGGGTTTAACAGGGAAAATTGTGAAGGTTGTTCCCCAATAGCCCCTCCGATCGCGATTAGCCGCAATAGCTGAAATACGGCAGATTGTCTGTAATTTTGCTTCATCTTTAAAGTAGAGACTTACCTTCAGGTTAAACAACCAAAAGGAGAATAATTGTGAATGCACACTTCATTTCAAATCGGATTTTCTGTAACTTCTGAATGTAATTTGCAGAACTAGGCCTTTTTATTACTCAATCACAGGGTATATAATCAGAAACTAGCGACAAATTAATTATCCTCAAACTGTACCCTAATCTTAATGAATTAAATGAAAATTGAATAATAAATTTCTTCGAGCTTTTCAGCAATTTGTGATAAGACCAACCATTCCAAGTTAATCCATTTTAATGACTTCCCTTTTGTACTAATCTCAAGCGAAATGGTCATCCTGAATTCAGATCTCCTAATGTGATTTTGCCTCTCCCTCAAATAGAGTGCAATAATCTCTCAATAATGTGTATCTGTCCGTGTGCCATATGTTCTAAATCGCTGTCTTTCTGCATCCCCTTTCGCTCTAGGAATGCGCACCCATAACGAATGCGGCAGCTGGAGTTCACCTTTTTTGCCTGTATAGATAAAAATTTTCATATTATTTCAGTGTTAAATGGAAGGGTCTCAACCTCATGCATATTTTCATGCAATTTTATTCCTTCTTCCTCTATTCCTTTTGTCCGTCGTTGAATGCGCCATGTCGAGAGAGTTTTGCATGTAGAAAACACTATGGTTGATATTTAATTAGATGACAAATTCAAGTGCTTTCTATTCTGATGGGTTTTTTAGCGTCTGGCCGTGTGGCGAAGTGAAGTTCAAAGGGAAGGTTTTATTGTGTGTTTTTGGGGGAGCTGAAAAGGAAAAAGAAACTTGGCCCTTGCGTGACCTCTTCGCTATTAGTAATAAAATAACATAAATCCCCAATTTATGTGTGTTTGTGTGCCTTGATGTTTGGAAAAGGAAATAGTGTATTTCTATTTCTGGGTTGATTTTAGTGTCACATCATTTCACCCAAATCACTTTTCTCACTGATTCTCAATTGAGGAGATTAATAGTGGTGGAGATAATGTGTATGTTTGTTTCTAAAATGTCCAAACTAAACATGAGAGAATTGTGCTTATCTGAAGGCATCAAACTCGATGTCGCTCAATGAGTTTTGGTATTGAATGAATTGTACATTGCAGAGTCTTCGTTTACACAATTCGCATTTTATGAGTCATTCCGGCAGCTTTTCACTACTGGCGTCTCTTTATAAAACATACATCTATCCACACTATTCGTAATAATTCAACGTTGAGATTGTGAGTCAGTTAATAAAACGGTCAGTAGTTTATATTGTCTTGTGAAGATGATAATGGTGTGCATATGGGATTTGAGAGTATATAGTGGTGTTGTTAAATCATTGTAATCATTAGGAATTTGCTGAGTTTGTTTCTTTAAGACCCCAATATTCAGTCTCTCCTTACAATTTTCTGGAAATAGACCTTCCTTCTGTCTGAAATGTTTGTTGTTTTTCCATTTTATTACATGTCTTCCACTCTCTCGCCTCTGCTTTAACAGTTTCTTTTTTACTCCAACGCACGAGGAGGAAAACAGAGGGTGGGGGGAAGCATTGGAGGATCTCCCAATATCTTCACTTCTCTCAGAGACACTATGGGTTTAAATGTCACAATGTTAATACTGATAGACACTCCAATTTTCCACAAGGGATTCTTCATTTTGAAAATGTTACGCTATTTTGAGCCGAATGCCTTCCGCTCTGAACCTGAACACATATTGTACAAATGAATTGTAATATTGAAATGTCAAACAATTGTCTGCTATGCTTCGGAATTCTTTATTCAGAAATTCGGGACATTTAATTTATCTCAATATTGACATGGATTGGCGTACCTATTCACAGGTACGTATCGTCTCATGGGTGCTGGACCTGCGCCTCCGCCATACATATAGGGGGCTGTAAGTTTAACGAGAGGATTAATGTCCTGTATTAGCGCTTAATCCCTTCTGTGTTATTTTTGCTTTGAACTTTTCGACTCTTATCGATAGGACTTCCGTGCAATTTTCTTTTCTTAACACATTTTTAGAGGGAAAATAGTGGAAATAGGCAGTCTAAAGACTAATTACTCGATATCAGCACTATTTTCGTGTAAAATTGTGTTGAAAAGAGGAAATTGAAAGCGATTCGAATAGATGAGTATCAGTAAGTGTCGATAACTTACACCATCCTCCATCATAACCGGCGGGTCCATTAATTGAATTCCTGGAGTCTGAATTCTGACTTATTTGAGGTTCACACAGAACTAAAGTGATAAAAAATTAATATTAGAAATTGAATTCAACTTTTTACTTTCACTTCTAACTTACCTGATCCAATTATTGCCAAGAGGACGATTGCTACTGCGATAAATTTCATTCTGATCCCTTTTTTTTGCTAAGTCTTTTGTGATCGATTGTTCGGCATCAACTGAAAATTGAAAGCAATTATTCCAGATATTTATATGAACACAAATCACACTTTTTCACTCAATGCTAAGGTCAATCGATAAAAGTTTTGATGCAAAATTTCACGATTAATTTGATTTTCAATTTTTGAGCTATTAAATTGAAAAATGATTTTTCTCCTACAAACAGTTGGACAACTGTTTGATTTGTGGTGGTTTTGTGCATTGTGGGAAATAATTGAAAGACGAGATCACTGACCGTAATTTCCTGACACCACCAGTCAGACTCTGTCCATTATCACTCAGCCTTGGTAAATCGAAAATAGACTTGATGATGAACTATTTGGTGGAGAGGAAAAAACTATGCTTTGTTCAACTGATGCCACACTGTCGATTTCGAACGACACATTTCGATGGCGCTCATTTTTCAATTGAATGCACTATTTAATAATTTTCTTGAAGGTGTGGATTGAAATTATCCATAATCACTCACAAAGTTTATTTATTGTTTGGTTAATAATGTAAAAAAAATGTCAGTTTTGCTGCAAACATATTTAATCCACTGTTAATTAACGCTGAAATTATCACAGTTTTTATCACTTTACGGATTACAATGTAATGGAATATGTTGATGAAGCGCTTTTCTGTGTGATGAAGTGAGAAAGAAGCGAAAGTATATAAAATGAACTATAAAAATGTTGTTTGCGGTTGATTAATTCCTCAGAGGAAGGCAATCGGAAGGGAATTTGGGGAAGTGTTGAAGGGAATGCCGTGGAGAAAACAGGTGTCCAGTGACATAATTTATCGTGGGTATTTTTATTGAAATATTTCAGAACACTTCTGACACGTTGTCTACACATATTCTTTTAGGAAGTGGAAGCTCTAAAACTTGCTAATGATATGCAATATATTGTATTTTTGGTTGTTTTGAGAATGAAACATTCTGTGTTTGCTCTTCAATTTCCGGCCTCAATGGTTTGGGTGAGATTCACATGATTTACACACGGATTCATCGCACGTTTTGCTTGAAAATTAGATTAACACACCGTCACCCTTCTCGGGTGTATTTTGCATCACCCTCAATTTCTTCCATTTATCTCGAGGGCGTTTTCAATTCTCGCTGGGAATTTGCTGCCTATGCAATATTACTTGCCTTCTGTGTAATATTCACTCCATGTGCCTCAGAAATTATTCACCAAGGGTGATCGCTGTTTTTGCTGAAAACCCCACATTCGGGAATTCGTCTCTGCGTATATGTAATTTTATCTTGGGAATATAAAACAGATGTTTTATTGTTTAGTGGAAAAGTTCATTGTGGCAAATACGAAAATTTATGATTGCACTAACTATTTTAATGGTGAATTTTTCCTCAATACTCGTCCATAAAGAGTTTGAGTCCATAAAAATGGTGTTCAGTGAAGGATTAAATTTCCCAACTGCCTGTTGGCGGTTCCTAAATTTAGTGAGACTTCACAGTATGATAAATGAGATCGTATGTTTAATGGATGTCCTGGTGATCTTCCTCTTTGTGCTCTCTCTCTCTGGCGCACTCTTTCTCTGGGCGAAGCAGGTTGAATATGATGGCTTCTGTGTAATTTTATCAATTTCCAACGAACACTGGCATAAATTCCAGTGAAGGCTGAAATGCTCCGGTGTCTGTTTTTTCTCTCGGCGCGCGGGAGTAAACAGATGAAGAGGGCTTCTGTGATGGAAAAGGTATGGAAATGATACTCAGAGGCCACTTGAAGGAAGGAGGGCAAAAAAGGGGAGAAAGGGAGAGAGAAATGCCGAGGAGGACACATGGTACACCCACTGATGGATGATGTTTAAATATAATTTGTCGTGAGACTCAAACAGTTCAAATTTCCGGGGTGGGTGATGAAATGTTCGACCCTCCAAAATCCGCCTTTCTTCAGTCCCAAAAATTCTCATTAGGCCATTTAACAGTCGGTCTCTGCGTGAGTTTCGTGTTTCCGTGCTGCTGAAAAGGTAATTTTGCAAATGACACAGGCGTGGAAATGCGCGTTCGTCAATGAAGAGATTGTCTGATATGATTTTTCGGGGAATGACAACAACAATAAGTTCCCGAAGGATTTCCTCTCTTTGGGGTGCTCAAATCCGGAATAATAACACATTTTCTACCAAAATCCGCAGTGCCAAATGGGACGAATATGCCCTTAGAGAAGAATATTCATTTATTCATATTTTCCTATAAGAAATTGAATTGAATTTTAATTCACAGAACAAATCATATCTAGAAATTCTTAATTATAAAGTTTGCAGACCGTCTTAGAAGCTATTTTCAAGTTGATGCATATCAACTTAATTGTCTCAAACCATATAAGAAATTCCAGACACTGCGTGAATTGTCTGTGGATGAGAATGTTTTCACTTTACAGATGTTCAATGGCTAGAGATTATTTTCTGCTCGAGTGTTGTGTGTTTGTGTGTAAAACATCAAAAATAACCCGGCAATTTTCTTCTTTTCTCTCTTTCCAGTGAATCTTGTGACGTTGTGAATGCATGGTCAAGCTCCATTTAATTGATTGTCTCGAAAGGGTGAGTTTGAAAAAAAGTGAATCTTTGCGTGGAGAAAAAAAATGATATAATTTGTTCTCATTTCCTGTCTCTTTCAGACTTGTCTCTGTGTGTGATTTCGGGGGTCGCGCGAGATGAGGCCCACCGAGAGGGCTGTGGCCCTTCTCCTCCTCACTCTGGTGATTGACAAGACAATTGGTCAGCAGGCCAACTCGCCGAATGACGTGTACACTCGATATGGATCAGATGATCAGTATAATCGATATCCGACACAGACATACGACGGGTTGGGTCCCAACCGCGATGTGAATGATTTGAATCCATTCGGCGTCACGCGCGACAGTGGCTTGTTTGGCGGAACGAGCGATCGGCCGAATTATGGCTTCACTCCGGGTGATAATTACGGGGGTGGGAGTGTCTATAGCAATGACAATTTTGGGCAACCAAGAGACAATTATGATCCCATCAGGCCGTTTGGTAATGACGGCGTGAGCAGTGGTTTCCCGGGCAGGGACAGAGACTTCAATAGACCCCAAGTGGGGCCCATCAGTCAACCGGGAATGCCTGTGATCTCGGCTAATCGCGACAGAGACTTCAATCCCAACTTGAATCCATTCAATAGGAATCTGTACAGCGACGACAATCTGCAGATCAACGAGGCGACGTACTTCATTGTGGCGTCGAGAATGGTACGTCCTGGACAAGTGTACCGTGTGGCTGTTAATATAGTCTCCACACCGCTGCCGATAATTGTGCGGGCCAGTATCTCGCGGAATGGCGTGGAGATGACCCACGATGAGAAGGATGTGAAGGAGGGCATTCCCGAGGAGCTCCTCATGCGTATGCCGCCGACTAGTGTGAAAGGAGAGTACAAGCTGAGGATTGAGGGGCTGTACAATTCTGTGATGGGTGGATTGGCCTTCTTCAATGAGACGAAAATCACCTTCTCACAGCGTTCAATGACAATCTTCGTGCAGACGGACAAGCCAGTGTACATGCAGGGTGAAACTGTGCGCTTCCGGACAATTCCCATCACAACGGAACTCAGGGGTTTCGACAACTCGGTGGATGTGTACATGTTAGATCCCCAGGGGCATATTATGCGGCGCTGGCTCTCCAGACAATCCAATTTGGGCACTGTGAGTCTGTATTATAAGCTCTCTGATCAGCCGCGCTATGGCGAGTGGACGGTTCGTGTGGTGGCGCGTGGCCAAGTGGAGGAGCACACGTTCCAAGTGGAGGAATACTACCAGTCACGCTTTGAAGTGAACGTCACAATGCCAGCATTCTTCTTCAACAGTGATCCATTCATTTACGGCAAGATTATGGCGAATTTCACAAGTGGCGCTCCAGTGAGGGGTAATCTCACCCTCAAGGCGACCATTCGACCGATTGGCTTCATCAATCCCAAGATACTCAACATGAGATATCGCGTGGGAAACACAGGAGGTGAGTAATTAATCTATTAATCAATTATCGAACTGAATTTTTCCCTCTATTTCCTCAGGATACCGCCGAGAGGATGAATACTACAACAGAGATGCCACTTATCACAATCTGTTCGGGCCGCAGAACATTCCGCTGGAGAGACAATTTCTGGATGAGCGCTATCAGCAGCAGCAGGGCTTCCAGGAGTCTTACATTGTGGAGAAGCACTTCAACTTTGACGAACGCTGGCCTTTCTGGATGGACAAACCGGAGTACAACCAAGTGTTTGATCCTTGGACACGATCGTATAGAAATCAACTGCCGTACTTGCGATTCTTCAACGGAACGTTCGACTTCAAGTTCCCCATGGCGGAACTTGAGCAAATGGTGCCGAATCTCTCTGGCATGGAGGTTCTGATCACGGCAACAGTTGGCGAGAGATTCTATGATGAGGTGATTGAGGGTTATGCCATGACGAGGGTCTACAATTCATCAATAAGGGTGAATTTCCTGGGTGGAAGTCCTCAAGTCTTCAAGCCCGCCATGCCTTTCACATGCTATCTCGTGGCAGAGTATCACGATGGCTCACCACTGCCGTTTGATAACTTCTTCTATGGCACAATGGAGATAACTGGTTGGATAGAGAGTCGCGCTGGAGGACGTCGTGATTATCCGTTGAGGAATCTGCGAATGTCTGAGCGTGATGGCATTTGGGAGTTGAAAGTGGATCTGAGGAATGAATTGAATCTGGACAGTACGAAGCAGTCCAATGACTTCCTCAATGAAGCCTCTTCGATGCGTCTCATTGCCAACTTTATTGATTCACGTGGTGAGCGAGCAAGTGCTGAACTTCTTCTGCTGGGTCACCATTCGCCCCTGAATCAACAGATTAAGATTACAACCAGTACGACTGACGCAAAAGTGGGTGAATATGTGGTGTTGCATGTGCAATCGAACTTTCACATGGATAATTTCCACTACATTGTCATGTCGAAGGGGATTGTGTTGTTGACTGGTCAGGAGAACATGCAGGAGGGCATCAGGACAATGGCGATCACTTTGAGTGCAGAAATGGCGCCTGTGTCGACAGTTGTGGTGTGGCATGTGGGCAGAAGAGGCTTGATTGTGGCGGATACTCTCACTTTCCCAGTGAATGGAATCTCTCGAAATAACTTCACGGTGTTCATCAATAATCGCAAGGCGAGAACGGGAGACAAAGTCGAGGTGGCGATCTATGGAGAGCCAGGAGCCTATGTGGGACTGTCCGGAATTGATAATGCCTTCTACACGATGCAGGCAGGAAATGAGCTGACCTATGCTAATGTCATAACGAAGATGGCCACATTTGATGAGCAGACAAATGGCACTTTCAAGCATCGCTGGTACTCACACGAGGGCAATCCCGATGAGCTGGTGTACTACCCTTCATCGACGTACGGAATAGACGCCAATCGGACATTTGAGTTCGCGGGATTGGTCGTTTTCACGGACGCTACGGTGCCGCGGCGATTGGAGATATGCAATGCGACTTTGGGCTATGGAGAGTGTCTCAATGGGCGCTGTTACAGGTTGGATAAAGAGTGTGATGGATATTTCGATTGTGAAGATGGAACTGATGAGATCAATTGTGACTATCACAATGCAACACTGCTGGCGGATTTCCGGAAGTATCGCTTCAATCGAATTCAGAGACACTACGAGAATGTGTGGCTGTGGCGTGATGTGAACATTGGACCACACGGCAGATACATCTTCAACATTGATGTTCCTCATCGGCCGGCTCTGTGGATGGTGTCGGCTTTTGGTGTGAGTCCGACCATGGGATTCGGAATGGTGGCTAAGGCGATAGAATATGTGGGTGTGCAGCCGTTCTTCATCAACGTCGAGATGCCGAGCGCGTGTCGCCAGGGCGAACAAGTGGGCATCCGTGTGACTGTTTTCAATTACATGACGAACGCTATTGAGGCCACAGTTGTGTTGCACGGATCGCCAGACTATAAGTTTGTGCACGTGGAAGAGAATGGAATTGTGCGCTCCTACAATCCGCGCACGTCCTTTGGTGAGCATCAGTTCTTCATTTATCTGGAGGCGCAGGAGACGTCCATTGTGTATCTGCCGATTGTGCCACAACGTCTGGGTGATATTGATGTGACCATGCACGCTGCCACGCTGCTGGGAATGGACAAAGTCACCCGGCGACTGCATGTGGAGGCCGATGGATTGCCGCAGTATCGTCACCAGTCCATTCTGCTGGATCTCAGCAATCGCGCTTATGTCTTCCAGTACATGCACGTCAATGTTACGGAGACGCCTATAATTCCGTATCAAGTGGATCGTTACTATGTGTACGGATCCAATAGTGCAAAGATCAGTCTCGTGGGAGACGTTGTGGGTCCCATTTTCCCCACAATGCCTGTCAATGTGACCAGCTTGATTCACCTGCCAATGGAATCTGCGGAACAGAACATGTTCAGCTTCGCGGCTAATCTCTTTACCGTGTATTATATGAGATTGATCAATCAGAGGAACAAGACAATGGAAAAGCACGCCTTCCACCATCTGAATATTGGGTATCAGAGACAGTTGAGCTTCATGAATAAGGATGGCTCCTTCTCACTCTTCCGCTCGGATTGGAATCAATCGGATCCGAGTGTATGGCTGACGGCGTACTGTGTGCGGATTTTCCAAGAGGCGAGCTTCTACGAATGGGAAAATTTCATCTACATCGATCCGAATATGATACAGAAGAGCGTGGCGTGGCTGTTGCGCCATCAAACACCGGAGGGATCTTTCTACGAAACGACTTGGTCGCCGGACAGGAAGATGAACAGAACGGAGAATGAAATACTGAGAGCCAGGAACATAACACTCACGGCACATGTTTTGATAACACTGGCCAGTGTGAAGGATTTGGCGGCCGGAGGATTGGGCGCGAGAGTGGCAATGGCACAGCAGAGAGCAATAGATTGGATAGATCGAAATTTGAAGATGATAAAAGACTTTGGGGGGCCTTACGAAGCGGCAATAGTAACGTATGCTCTTATGCAGAGTAATGCACCGCATGCAGAAAACTCCTTTAGCATCCTGGCGAAGCACGCCAGGACGATAGGGGAGTTTATGTACTGGGGAAATGAAGAAGTGCCACAACCGCCGACAAAGCTTGAGAATCAAAAGTACTTCAGCCTGCCGAGATTGCCGTACAAGTACGATTCGCTGAACATCGAGACAACGGCGTACGCTTTGCTGGTGTACGTGACGAGGAGGGAACTGATGATAGATCCCATTGTGAGATGGCTCAATGCCCAGAGATTGACGGATGGCGGTTGGGCGTCCACGCAGGACACGAGTGTGGCTATGAAGGCGCTGATTGAGTACACAGTGAGATCGAGGATCAGGGATGTTTCTCAGCTGGCAGTCACAATAGAAGCCACTTCACTTCCTGGACAGACCAAGATGTTGCACATCACGGACAAACACTTTGCAGAGTTGCAGAGTATCGATGTGAGTTCTATAATTTGTGTACTGTTTTGAATGGTTATATGATTTGTGTGTTTTATCCTTCTGTAGATTCCAAATGCGTGGGGAACGGTTAAGGTGCAGGCTAAGGGTGCTGGATACGCCATTCTGCAGATGCACGTGCAGTACAACGTGGACGATAAGCAATATCAAACGGCTCCTCCGGTTCCATCCTTCGATCTCAACGCTCACGCTGTGTTCCACGGAAGGAATCAGTCTCATATCACCTACTACGCATGCCAAAGGTGGGAATAGTGTGTTATGGCGTGCATTTTGAATGTCTTCACCTTGTGTTTTCCTTATGCTTCACAGGTGGATCAATGTGAATGAGTCCATTCGCTCAGGAATGGCTGTTCTGGACGTGGCAATTCCCACTGGATATTTCATGCAGCAACAGAAGCTGGACACTTATGTTCTCAGCCGGAGAGTGAGGAACTTGGAGAGGGCCAAGTATCAGGAGAAGAAAGTTCTGTTCTACTTTAATTTCGTGAGTTTGAGAATTTATTCATTGCATCTGTTTCTGGAATCTAAATGTTTCTGCTTTTACAGTTGGATGCTGACGATGTTTGTCTGAATTTCACGGTCGAACGATGGTTCCCAGTGGCAAATATGTCTCGTTATTTGCCCATTCGAGTGTATGATTACTATGCTCCGGGTGAGTTTGACTCCCAATCTTGAGGAATTTGCAGGATTTTGAAGGGGTTTTTCTCTGTGTGTATTTTCAGAGCGATTCAACGAGACACTCTTCGACGCCCTGCCCACGTATTTGCTGAACATCTGCGAGGTTTGCGGCAGCTCACAGTGTCCATACTGTGCAATCTACAATGCAGCTATGAAGGCACCTGTTCCATTCTTCCTCATCCTGGGCGCCATTGCTGCAATCACCGTGAGACACTTTAGAATAACCGGCAGAGGATTTATCACGCTAATATCCATGGCTTTGTGGAACACGTAAAGAATGTCTTGGCAAGAAGTATCAAAAAAAAGTGGGGAAAGCATAGTTTTTGCCATGTTGTGTTCCAAAAAAAAAAACAAGAAGTGAAGTAAAACACAATCCTCAATATCACCACATAAAATGAGTCGTAGGAATACAATTTTTCATGTGAATAGATTTTACATTTATTTTTTACAAATTGACACGAAAGACGAAATTTAGGAATCTCTAGAGAGAATCTAAAAAGTATTTTGGAAGAAGAAGAAATTAATTGAATCCCATCTTAGATGTATAGAAATAGAAAGAGAGAGCGAGAGAGTGAAAAACGTCCAAGGAAAGCAAGTGTCTTGCATGGTAAATCTGCTCATATCAAGAGAATATGTAGATGAATGACAATACTTAAAGGAAGAGTTTATCGAATGAAGGGAAATAGAGGGTTTTCCATTTTCAAGCATGGGTGGAAAAATGTACAAAAGAACCAAGAGTTTCTCATAAACTTCTCTTGATTTATAAATGTATATTAAGAATTAATCCAGGCCGTCCATTTTCTGGTCAATTTTTTATTTCACGTTTATTTTATGTTTTTTTTTATATAACATTGTGCGAAAAAATACTGAGAAAATATGTCTGTCTTATTGCAAGCTTTTCCCGGTTTGTATTTCTTCCTACACACAAAGTTTTAGACCTTTTTATTTTCGCGAGAGTGGAAAGCGAACAGTAAATTGATGGAATACTGAAAAATTGGTGGGCGAAAAGATATATTTTTGAGAGATTGTGTAGAGAGCAAAAAAGGAATGCAAGGGACAAAAGAAATCTCTGTGAGAGATGCAAAAAAAATCTCTGTAGTTTTTAATTGGTAGTTGTAGGCGTAGAAATTTTTATCAAAAAAAATTACATGAAGCAAAAGAGCGAAACTCAGAAATATTACCCATTTTTTAAGGAGAACAAATACCCGTAGATTTGCATGTAAATATTTAATAATGACGAGGATTCATGAAAATGTTAAGATAAAGTGAGAGTTTAAGAAATGCACGTGTATACCATATTTTTGCAAATTTCATTCCCAAATCAATAAGCAACTGAAGTAAGAAACCCAGCATTTAGACGTGAGACAATGAGAAAGTGAGGTGCCTTAATGATTTTAGGAGACAAATCTTTACGCATGAAATATCACGAATCCATATTTTGCCACATGGAAAGAGTAAGCAAATATAGAAATTCTCAAATGACGAAAAAGTATATTTACACCTTCTTTTGATATATAGTGAAATGACATTTTTTATATTGTTAACTGTACCTCAGAAAATAGGTAATACATTTCTATAAATAAAATGACATGAAACTGACGATATATAGTGTTTTATTTATCCCAAAACGATTAAGTTGTAGTCATTTATCTATAGTATTTCAGGCGCAGAGGCTCATTTTACGCCTGCTTCTTCTTGAATCCCATCGTGTAAACCATGTTCGCGAAGCACAGAATCCCCACGCCGCACAGGAACACCGTTGTACCGAAGAGAACCTTGTCCAGAGGACCTCCCTTGAGGAACACGGGCACTCCGTTCGGCTCCTGCAAAGGATCACAACATCAGTCTACTGACCTCTGTGAAATGGGAAGCGAAATCACCTGGAATTTCTTGTAATTCCTCACTAGATTCTCAGGCAGAGCCATTTCGAGCACTGAAACAATTACATTACATAATGAGTGGATAAGTAAGAGAGTTTTCACGGGGGATTTTCAGCCTAAATATTGCGTGAAAAACTCATTTGACTGGACAACTCATGATCTTGTTCTCAGGGTAATTCTTTTTAAGGGTGGTTTATTCGATTTCAGTGCCCATATACTCACAATTTTCAATTGATTTCACGGAAAACTCGCCGATCACTTGACTATCGAGTGCAAATAAACTTGGCAATGATCCAGGAATTAAGTGCAATAAATGCAGTGGATAAAATTGGATAGACTTGAAGGATCACTTTGAGCATGCGTGACTTCATGTAAATCAAACACATTTGCGGGTAAATTGATGAAAAGCGGATTCAAAAGTCGAATTTGCATTCTGTCGTGAAAGATTAAACAAAAATGATCTTTTTTAGACTGGAATAGAAAAGAGATGAAAGTGTAATTCAGAGAAAAAAAATGCTTCTGCGGTTTTGTTTTCTAATTATATTTCATACAGAAGTTGAGATCTTTTATAGCATTATATGATTTTTTTTTTTGTTAAGCGTTTCAATCCCACACACTCAAAGAATATATAATATAAATGTGTGGTTGGTTTGCGAGATTGAATTTTCTGTAAAGGGTGGACAGAGTGAGGGTTAAGCAGTTGATGTGTTTCTCGTGTGTTTCATTTCGATTTCATGCATTCGAAATTTTACACGCAACACTGCTTTTGCTATTTTCCGCCCGTGGCACTGCAGTGCTGAAAGCTTCCGTTGGTTCGCAAAGCGTGATTTGGCGTCGCGTGAAAAGTGCAATTGGAATAATTGTTGGTGAAAATGAACGCCGAGATTGAGGAATTGCAGGCAAAGCTGAATGAGTACGAGTCATATCTCGACGAGGTGGAGAACAGCAGACAGTGGCTCGAGGAAGAAATGGAAGAATTGGCTGACGAGAAGGAATATGGCGAAATCGTGCTGGCTTTGCTTGAGCAACTGAAGGATTTGTATAAAAAGTATTTTGTCCAACAATTGTGGGAGTCTGAGGAGGAGTTGTCGTCCAGTGAGTCGAGCAATTCAGAAGATTCGGAAGAAGAATCCGATGCAGCGCAGAGCTACGAGGAGATAGCCGCGGACATACATCGAATAATCAGCAAAGTCGAGACATTTCCGGAGGTAAGCTTCTTTGCACCTTCTCTTGTTCTATGCATTTCTGTCTTGATAAATCTGGCGCTTTTCTCGGCTGGACAGCACGTGCTGGCGCAGGAGAAGGAGGTTGAGAGACTCGGTGCGGATCTGCCGATGAAGCAACGCAGAGCTGAAGAGCTCGAGGCGAATTGCGCACAGATGGAGGACACTCTCCGGAAGAAGCAGACGGAGAGGCGTCAGAAGGACATCGGGATGAAAGCCCAATTGCAGAGCCTTAAGTGAGTTTCACAGATTTTCTTGCTGTAATTTTCATGTTGAATTTGTTGCTAATGCTTATTTGCAGGAAGAAGAAGGAGAAGATCGACGAGGAAAATGCAGCGTTGGCAAAAGAGATTCAAAAGTTGACTAATCGACGTAAGTCACTTGCCAAGAAACTGGGCGTGATGGAGAAAATGGCAAATAATACGTATAATAATTAGGTTTCCTCAATATACCATTATTATGATCTCAAATATCTTCTAGGAAATGAATTTTTTATCAATTGAAGTACTGAAATTAATCAAGTTAGTTAAATTATCTTATTTTTGAATTTATTCATTTCCTTCATTTGAATTCTAGTGTTTCTGAATTAAATTCATAAAATCATCATTAAATCTTAATATCTGAATTAAAATATCCAATAAAAAATCACCAATTCGAATTGATATCCCAAGTTTTTGGCCCCTCGGCGTGGATTTCTGTTCCAGAAGCGACCAGACAAACCGCCACTGAAATGAAAGAGCGCCTATTTTTGGAATAAGCGTGAAGCGAGAAGGGAAAAATCTCAGTTCTCGACTGAAGATGATCTCTGATACATTCGAGATGAACTTCCACAAGCTTCCGCAACACAATTGCTTTCTTTTCACAATTTCATCTGGCGAGAATTGTGTTAATTGCGAGGCGCGCGGTTTCTCATGAATGATCGCGATCAATGGATTATCAGTTGACCGCGACGTGGAGTGGGAAAAAATGACAAGAATTTTCCTACTATTTCAATTGAATAGGAGAAAAAATTGATAATTCCGGTGACGCAAGACTTTATTGGTTGAGAGAGCGGAAAAAGGAGAGGCGAGAAAATTCCCATAGAGTCGGAAAGATCGCATGCCTTCGAGGATCGTGACAAAAGGCCTCCGGGATAGTTTTGGGTGTCGCGTTGTGTGGCCAAAGAAGGAAGAGTCAGAGGCAGCGTGAAGATGGTAAATTCAAAACAGATGTTTTCAATTTCTCAGCCAAAAAGATCTGTCGTCTCTCAAGGGTTCAGAGTGTGATTTTATTGCTATTTAAAAGAGGAGAAATCAAAGAGAACCTTCGGCACTCGTGCTTTGATTTATCTGAAAAAGTCTCTTGAGCTCTTGATGATGTGAAAATGGAGTCTTTTCACATCATCAAAATCACTTTGGATGCTTCCCTAAATATCTAATTTTAACTGTGTTTATAAATAAACAACGCCACTTTCATATTAAAAAGGGATCCCGAGAAAAAAAAACACTTCTCAGCTATATTGATATTTTCTGCGGCAATCCAAATAAATCTCGCTGAAGATGAAGAGTTGGAATTATGAGGGGCCTAATTGAGATGACTCTCGCGTTGCCCTCTTGCTCAGATTGCTAGTCAATGATTGCTTTTATCTGCAGTACAGATTTCAAGGTGCGTGAAAAAGCGGATTTTTCATTATACTTGTTAATTTTAACACTAAATTCACCATTTAGGATAATGTTAACCTTCAGTAACTTGAAATTTTGAAACTTTCCACACTAATTCTCAACTTATAATAAATCTCTTAAATTTCCATCCGTTATTTCTATAAAAAATCGACTCAAAACTGATTTTTTTGGGTATATTCAGTTTTTGATCGTCTTTCTAATTTTCTTTATGAAAATATTATTTCAATCTGAAGCGATACAAATTCAGCAAAAGCATAAATTATATTTGCAAAGCATAATTCTCGACTAATATATTTCATTTTCAAGGAGGACTCATGCGAACATCCATAAATACGTCTCGGATTTATGTGAGGTCTCGCAGGGTTTGCTAAGCATGTGAACGCCGGCTCGTTTTCTTTAGCGGTTGAATGGAGAGAGGAGCAGAATGCGACGTGTTGCTGGCCCCTCGGCGGGCGCATCACTCTGAGGCGAATTCCCAGAGGAAACCGCATCGCAGCTTCAGTCTTCGAAGTGATCTCGCTGGGAGCGGACGGAATTGGAAAAAGTGCTGATCCCTCCTTCAGGATTACCAGTGATTTGAGTGACTGTTAGTGTGACCATGAGGAGTCTCGTACTTCTCCTGGGCCTCTTTCTGGGCCACGTTCTGATTCCAAGTGCACTCGCGGTGTCTCTCTATGAACTGTACGATGTGACGAATGGCAATCAGGCGTCTTTCCTGCCGCCAGGAAATGACAAATTCGCCAGCGTGAGACTCGGCACTCCTGTTCACTTCTTCACGCAACAATACGATGAGATTTTCGTAAGGATTTCACATTGTTGAATGCAAAAATAGAAAATTGTTTCAGTCAACTTTGCCTGACTCTCATCGAAGGAGGGAAAAAAGTCACAACTCCCTCAATACACTTCTTGGCCTTCTTTTTTCTGTGTATTTTTGAACATGCCTTGAGAAAAAGGGGAGAACAGAAATTTGGTGGTGCAGAAGAGAAATTGAGTGCGAGCGATGTGAATAAAATTTTCGTATTAGTAAATGGAAATTAGCACTTTATCGCTCTAGCTTCTGGAATGGGTCAGCAAAAGGCTAAGTTCATTGGATAACAATTTTCATGTTGTTAAACACTCACACTCGAGAGCGAGTCGATTGATATGGACGGAAAAATTGCCGCAAAAGAGCTTAATAATAAATCATCTCTCAATTTCGCCTCTTTTTATTCGCCAGGTCAACACCAACGGACTGCTCACTTTCCGCTCGGAGTATCCCTTCTTCGCCAATGCGCCCTTCCCCATTGAGTACCCGGCCATCGCGCCCTTCTACTCCAACGTGGACACCAGCGTCGCCAATGAGACCACGCAGATCGCCTATTACGTAACGCACGATCCTCAGGTCCTCTACCGCGCCACGGACGTCATTCGCAACGGCTTCACCAACACGATCGACTTCGAGGCCAGGAGCCTCTTCGTGGCCACTTGGCAGAGCGTCGGACACTTTGACCAGAAGGCGGACGCCCTCAACACTTATCAGGTGGGTCGGCGCGCTTTCACTTTCCCGCCGCGATCGTCTATTTGCGGCCAATGAAGGCTGGAAATAAGTCGGGATTGGGTGTATTGATCCGTGAGAGATGTTATTAGAACTGAAAGTGCAAACAGATCACGAGGTTTATCAAGAATATAGAGAGGTCTTTTGATATCAGATGATCTCTCGCTGGAGATTTTAGAGCGCGAGGCGAATGATTTCTATGCTTTTCCCAGTGGCGTAGTGCGAACGGAGTTATTCTTGACCATATTTCCGCTCTGTGTAATAGTAATTTAGTCTTATCCATTATAATTCCAAGGTATTCTGCTTAATATCCTTTTTTTTACTATTGTTATGTTTATTTTATTTTTCTGTTTTTTCCTGTATATGCAGATGTCATAAGAAAATAATAGTCAAAGTCGAATTGTTCTCGAGTTGAATATGTAATTCAATATATCTGTAAATTATTTCTTGCGCAAGATTTCGATTTGGTCTAATATCTTCCCTTGTCTGCTGATCTTCCAGGTAGCTCTGATTTGTGGCGATCGGGAGACTTATGTGGAATTCCTCTATCCCGAGGGCGGACTGAACTGGATCAAGGGCGACGTGGGAGAATCCGGACTGCCAGATGTGAGAGCTCAGGCGGGCTTTGTGTCTGAAGAGGGTGAAGTGTTCACTCTCAAGGGATCTGGCCAGGAAAATGTGAAATACCTGTCAGAGTTGACAAACTACGGAGTCCCTGGAGTCTTTCTGTATCGCGTTGGGCCATTGGGCTATGATCAGAAGGTGCAGGAGCCTGATCGTTACCTTGGTGGCCAGGAGGCCGCTCTCTACACCTGCCGCGATCGAGGAAAGCACAGGTGCCACTCGAATGCCAACTGTGAGGACACCAGGACTGGATTTTGCTGTGCCTGCAAGGCAGGATACTACGGAAATGGATACAATTGCATCCAGAGCGACGCTCCAATTCGCGTTTCGGGACTTATCACGGGCACTGTGGGTGATAAGACGGTGAACTCACAGCTGCAATCGTACGTCGTCACGTCCGATGGACGGACTTACACTGCTATCAGTCCTCTGGAGCCCGAAGTGGGATCTAAACTGCAGGTGCTGCAGGTCATCGGGAGTGGCATTGCCTGGCTGTTTGCCAAGCCCGTGGGGAATGTCCAGAATGGATATCAACTGACTGGCGGCACTCTCAATCACACGGCTGTTCTGCGCTTCGAGGGCAGTGGTGAGGAGTGCAGGGTTGTGCAGAGATTCACAGGACTTAATGTGTGGGATCAGTTGGCGGTTGCCATAGAGCTGGACTGCAATCTTCCGGAAATTCCGTACGGCGCGAGGCTGAGATTTGGGGATTACGTGGAGGAATTCACTAGAGTCTCAGACACGGAACTTCGCTCCAATGACTGGCAGAGGCGTATTTTCGTTCAGGACTATGACAAGGATCTTGTCTTCAGTCTGTCGCAAGTGATTACTTTCGAGAAGTGTCCCTATGCGGAGAAGTCTGCGGGATCTGGCGAGGAGTCCTTGCCGCAAAAGATCACCAAGGTGTCTGCCTCTTATGAGCCCAGGGAGCAGGCCATCAGGATCAGCATGCTGAGCAAGGCGGGGATAGACAGATCGTCCAACCCTTGCACTGATGGATCGGCTATTTGCGGAGAGAATTCACTGTGTGTCCCGTCTCAGGACGAGGATGATGCTGAGAGTTACGTGTGCCAGTGCAAGAATGGATTTGCTCCGGATCGGATTGTCTCAGGCGTTGAGCACTGCGTGGACATTGATGAGTGCCGAGGAGTGAATATTTGCGATGCGAATGCCGAGTGTTACAATGAACTCGGCGGATACTCGTGCATCTGTCGTCCGGGATACCAGGGAAATGGCTACGAATGCACTCCCGAAGGATCTCCTCAACCTGCTTACCCATCAGTGAGTGTCCTTCCGGAATACCCAACGCCACCTCAGAAGTCTGCACGTTGTGAGAGTCAGTCTGATTGCTCAAACCATGCCATTTGCATCAGTGACCTCTGTTTCTGCCTGAATGGATTCTCTGGCGATGGCAAGACTTGCCAGCAAAACTGTGCTGATGATGAGGAGTGGGTGGTGAATCAGTGTGTGCATCGGGATAGTCTGGATCAGGACTATCAGCCAGTGCATTTCTGTACGGAAGAGCAATGCACATGTCCTCATGGCTTCCAAATCCTTGAATTTGCCTTCGGAACCACTTGTGTTCATCAGGATGATAATTACTCGTACAATGGCAGTGAGTATTACAATCCGGAAGGCAATAATGGCAGGCTGGAGCAGCCCTCGTGCAACGAACAGAACAACTGCAGTCCCTATGCTGATTGCTTGAGGAGCAGATCAGATGCCAGGTGAGAATTATAATTCTCCTGTGAGAATAAATCAAAATGTTTTTCCTATTCTTTCCAGCTATGAGTGTGTCTGCAAGCCTGGCTACGATGGTGATGGTCACACGTGTGAGGAGAAGTCGATTTCCTGCGCAGATGAAGACATTTGTGATGTCCACGCCACGTGCAAGTATCTGCCGGAAGAAAGGACAAGCATTTGCGTGTGCGATCCTGGATACGAAGGCAACGGCCGGACGTGCTTCATGGCGGCGGAGTGCATGCACGAGGACGACTGTGGCATCTACTCAGTCTGCGAGTCTGGCATGTGCCACTGCAAGGAGGGCTTCGAGAGGGACATGTCCGATTTCTGCGTCCCGATTGGATCCTGCGGAGGCGCGATTTGTGCTGAGAATGCACTTTGCCGCTGGGATCATGCTCAGATGGTGTCCTATTGCTTCTGCCCACCTGAATTCGAGGGCGATGGTATTCACACTTGCAAATCCAAACCGCCTGCGTGCAATGTGAGAAACAACTGTGGTCTCTACGCTTCGTGCGTGCCGAACTACAGAGATTCCACGGTTTATGAGTGCGTCTGCGATCCTGGATTTGAGGGAGATGGCTTTGTGTGCAGAAGAGAACTCAACTGTGTCATAGATCCGCGCATGTGTCATCCTCAAGCCACTTGTGTAGCGTCTGGCAGTGGAGTGAAGTGCATCTGTAATCAAGGTGAGAAGCAAAGAGGATTGTGAAGAAAATCATTAAATGTGACTTTTCTTTCAGGCTACATTGGAAATGGGACTTTCTGCGCTGAGGTTCAGCAGCATGAGACTGGATTCTTGCTGATAAGCCAAGGTGTGGCTGTTGTCCGGGTGCCTTTCTCAGCTACGAGAGGCAGACCTGTGTCCATGTCCCAGATGGCTATTGGGGTTGATAATGATTGCACTGAGGGCAGAGTTTACTGGAGCGATATTTCATCTAAGAATATCATGAGCTCGAAGTATGATGGCAGTGACAAGAAGGTCTTTATTTCTGAAGGTGATTATTGTGTTTAGTTTGATTGCGAGGTCGATGCTAAATTCTTGACTTTTCTAGATATCCTGTCGCCTGAGGGCATTGCCGTTGACTGGATTTCCAGGAGAATCTACTGGACTGACTCAACTAAGGACACCATTGAGGTGGCGAGTTTGGATGATCCCAAATTGAGAGCTGTGATTATTCGAAAGGACTTGGTCAATCCTCGAGGAATTGCTGTTGATCCTCATCATGGGTAAGTGTGAGTTATTTTTATGAACTCAATACTTACTCAACAGTTTGTCGTCGGCGCAGGAAAATCTACTGGTCGGATTGGAATCGTGCACAGCCGAAGATTGAGTGGGCGAATCTTGATGGAACGGCCCGAGAAATCCTTCTAACGCAGCCACAAGTGATGCTCCCGAATTCATTGGCCATCTTCCAAAAGTCCGGAGAACTTTGCTATGCCGATGCAGGAAACATGCAGTTGGGCTGCATTGATACTTACTCAAAGTCGCACAGAGTGGTGGTCTCAAATCTGTCCTATCCATTCGGTCTGGCGATTTCTGATGATCACTTCTACTGGACAGACTGGTCAACGTAAGAATGACTGAAGCTCAAGTAATAGTTCTTTCGATTGTATCTAAGACGTTGTGATTTTGCAGGAAGAGAATCGAGAGCATTGATCTGATGGGCAATCGCAAGATGGGCATCTCGGGGCCACTCTTTGGCAGCCACAAGATGTACGGCATGACCGCCGTGACGGCCGAGTGTCCAATGTACTTCAGTGAGTGCCAGGTGAACAATGGCGATTGCCCGGAATCGCGAATCTGCCTCCACAATCCGAACGCGCCGTCGGGACGGAGCTGTAAATGTGCCAACTCGCAGAACTGCAACGAGTTGCCCTTCGATGACTAAAAGTTCGCACTGTGTGTTTGTGTTCGTTTTACAATGATTGCAATATTATTAAAATTAATTATTAATTAATGTACACCCCAACTACGTTAATAAACATGTCGCGAATGCAGAGATTGGTTAAAATTTTCATACAAGCATTTAATAATATCCATTTCTGTGGAATAGATGTAAATGTAAAGTATTTCTGTATTGCTAGGTTCTCTAGGAAGGCCACATGTGTGTGAAGGATGAGCCATGATCAGAAATCAGCATCCCAGCCCGAACATTCATCTGGAGGAATTGCGCTGTCAATGGGAAACTTGTCGAAGTTGGACACGTCTAGGGGACCCTCGACTGGCTGCACAATTGGAGCTCCCAGGGTCTGGTTGATCAAGCCGTCCCAGTCGAAGCCTTGGAACCACCTGCGAAGTGAATGTGAGTAATTGGACGGTCTCTCTCTTTGGCAAATATCCCTACTTGTGCTTCTTGATGTCCTCAAAACCGCCCTTTTGGTAACCCAGTCGCTCAACGGGCACATCCCGGCAAAGCTTCTTGATAAGGCCAATGGCAGTCCGGCTCATGTGTCTGGGGAAGTCCACCATATCGATTCCCTTGAGGATAATATTGTAGGTCTTCATAGGATCGTTCGCCGTGAAAGGAGGCCTGAACAGAGTGAATAATAGAAATATGTTAAGGCGCTCAGATTCCATCGAATAATTTACTTACGCTCCTGTCAGAAGTTCATGGATCAGAATCCCCAGTGCCCAGAAGTCAACTCCGCGATCGTGTCCTTTGTTCAGGATGATTTCCGGCGCCACATACTCAGGGGTGCCGCAGAAGGTCCATGTCTTGCTGCTGTAGCCGATGTACTTGGCAAAGCCAAAGTCTACCAACTTCACGTATCCACTGGAGTCCAGCATGAGATTCTCAGGTTTCAGATCTCTGTACACGATTCCCCTGGCATGGAGGTATTCGAAGGCCTGCAGCACACACCCAATGATGAACTGAGTGGTGGCGTCACTGAAGTATCCTTGATCTGAAAGACAACCAAACTTGTAGGGCTGTTTTGGAAAATTGAAGTTCATGGTGGATTACCTCGGAGTGTTGTCCAAATTTCTCCGCCCAGGCACGCTTCGAGCAGCATGTAGACGTATTTGCTGTCCCGATAGGTTCTGAATAGGCGACAGATGAAGGGTGATTGACAGGACAGCATAATGATGCGTTCGCTGAAAACATGATCCTCCTGATGTGTTTCAACGATGTGCTGCTTCTTGAGACACTTCAGAGCGTAGCTCTCAATTTTTCCATCACGAACGTGCTTCACCAGTTCAACACGACCGAATCCACCCACTCCTAGGGTGGCGACAGTTTCCAGATCTGACAATTTAACATCAAGCAGTTCTTGCTTGTCCAATCGTTCAAAGCCCAGAAGCTTTCTTTCAGACTGCTTGAAAGCAATCAATCGATTTTCATCTCCATAATCGATATCGTGCAGTTCAACCAAATCCCCTATCAACTGATTGAAGGACACTCGATCCAGGGTGAGACACTCAACTCCCGGAGACTGAGCCACAATGTTGGCTGTGCGCTTGTCCTCCTTGATCAGAGCTTGCTCTCCAAAGTAGTCTCCGCGGTGAAGAACTCTTATCTCCTCCTCGATTGTTGTGCCGGGCAGTCGCTGGGTGACCTTAACGCTACCTTGACTGATGAGGTAGAATGTATCTCCACTGGCGCCTTGGCGGATGATGAAAGAGTTCGCAGGATAGAACTCGACTTCCAGCACATCAGCAATCTTGCAGAGGACATCGTGGCTCAAATTTTTGAGCAGTGGAACGCACTTGAGGAACTTCACATTCTCCTCAATTCGCTGAAGTCCAGTTCGCATCATGATTTGCTGGAAGAGGCGTCGCTCGAGCACCCAGACTCTAGAATCTCTTAGGACGCGGATAGAGGCGGTGCGCGTGCAGTTGTAGAGGATGGCCAGCTCTCCGAAGGCTTTACCAGCTCCCATTGTGCCCAGGATCTTGCCATCCTTGATCACTTCAAACTCCCCTTCGGCGGCAACATAGAGATGGGATCCGGCCTCGCCTTCGCGAACGACATATTCACCTGGAAAGGGTTTAATTGGCTTAATAATTCCACAATTTATGTGAAGAAGGGGCCATAAAATGAAGAGCCATTCAACAATGTGTTTATCTCTGATGAGATTACCGGCTAAAATTACTTCTCGAGCATCTTGAAGGTCAATTAACACTGTTGAGAGTCTTTTTTGGCGATTCATTCAATAAACAAACCCACAAACTCACTCACCAGCTGGAATCTCTCGACTGTACATGGACTCAACCAGTTCTCTGATCTGCAGCGAATCAATGTTCTTCATGAAGTCATTATCCATGATAGCGTCCTTGATAAGCTGCTTCGACCGGAAGTCCTTTTCATACTTCGGAATCTTTATGTCACGCGATTGCTGGGCAGCTCCGTCTGAACTCTCACCGGACACGCCCTGCTTCTTAATGGCAGTCACTGGGGCGGATTCGAATCTTGGCCGCTGGCCCCGATTCGAGTCCTGCCGGTCGAGCTTCTTCACCTCTGGGCCTGAACAGCAAGCGCGGTTTTGCTGGGCAGCCATGCAGTGATGCGTCTGCAGGCTGGACAGGAGATCCCCGTCGCCCATGCGAATGTGGCTGGTTGTTTGCTGAAGAACGCTCTGCAAGACAATCAGTTTCAGACGCGTGCTTTCCTCTACTTATCCACTCTCACCTTCAGTTTGTGCACTTCCCGCCTCAGCTTGTCGATCTCATTGTCGCGGTTCTTCAGCAATTCCCTCAGATTTGCCATTTCATCCTCCAAGTGCTGGGATCTCTCGTGCCAATCGGTGGAATGTGATGATACCTTGTGATAATAATCGTACTCATTTGGAATCACAGCTGATCCGAATGTCTCCTTGCTGCCCACTCGCTTTAATGCTTTCCCATCCTGACAAATACCAAAGGAATTTTATTCACAAACATAACAACGAATCTCAGCCTGAGACTTATAAGCCAACAAAACAGACAAATATTGACCCTCTCGTGCTAAATGTGTCGATCGGTGCGTTTTGGCAAACATAAACTCCTCAAATATTTGGCTATTTAGAACCCACTTGTGCAAAAAGAGTGTTCTTCTGAACATTCTTTCCGAGAGACTCGCGAGAAAGCTACACGGAAATAATTTTTCCACTTCACTTAAAATATATGTGTACAATGGAGGCGCCTGGTATGAAAAGCTCAATCTTTCTATTTGAGGTTTCACAGAGCACGAATTTATTGAAATGGTTCCTTTTCATGTTTCTAATTGCTGTTTGTGGTCAAAACATCTTACATTTCCTGCAAGATTTTAATGATTTCAACGACAGTCCGCGGCGTCTCAGGAGGAAAAATTTCGTTGTAATTATGGATGATTAATGAGTAATTATAATTCTCCGCCCTTCTTTTGCTTTTGGTCATTAAATTAGCATATTGTAGTAAACTGTGCTCCAGAAAAAAAACTCCAATTTCACTAATGACATGCATTAACAGCTTCAATTTGAGTAATCATCGCAATTCATCCAATTTCATGCATTCAATATTCCATATCAATCATGCAGTTAAAGTGCATTTGGATTGTCATGCGGGAAACTATCTGCTGTGTGGAACCCATTTGGGAACTATGTATTATGGGCAATTTCACGCACAAAATGTGAGAATTGCATTGTAGAGGCGCGTGACGATGGTTATTTTTGTGGGGAACATTTTGTGTGTGCAGCAATTCGAACAGAAGTGGGATATTTTATCGCGCGCGCTTCCGAGAAAAACGTGATGTTATTCTCTGCTTGTTTGTCAACATGTCGCTGTTTCGTTACGGGCTCAACTCGCCCAATTAATTGATAAAGCCACTCGACTACTGAGCACAGCACAGACATTTCCGAAATGTGCAATTGGAATTTCTCTTTTACTTGCATATTCAACTGCAGGCCGTCAGTGACGAGCGATCCCACTTTGGAGTTCCTCTTCAGCATGCCGCCCAGCACGGAGCCCATCTTCTCTGGACTGTCGCCGAGGACGAAATCGAAGGGTTTCTCCACGTCCTCGTCGAAGCTGGAGTCCGACTTGGCCAGCGACGCTCGGCGATCTGATGAGGTGGATTGATCGGACTGGACAGAGTCGTTGCGCGTCTTCGTCGGGCGGATCTGCTTCAGTTGGCTCTTGAGGTGGTCAGTGAAGAAGGCCTGGTTGGGAGAGTTGGTGGGCGTTACTGGATCCTGGCGACACACCTTGAGAACAACTTCTGGGTGAATAACCACGTCATGGACGGTGAAGTTGCCCAGGCTCGGCGTGGACTGGCGCTTCTCACGTCCAGGCAGCGCCAGGATGCCATTTCGTGTGCTAATAACTCGCGATCGCTGAGCGACTTTGCTGTCCTTCACCTGGTCAAAAATATGTACATAAATCTTCCATATCACCTAATTTTTGTTTGAAGCATTTTGCGAGAAATTTAAACGCTTTTCTTATAAAAAACATGGCGCCTCACCTGAGTTTTCTCGTCAGTGAAGATGAAGGCTGTGTCGGGATGCGAGAAGGACTGGAAGATCTTCTTGCGCGTCTTATTCCTGCACTCGTCTCGCAGGTCGCACTCGCAGTTGGCGAAGAGACTGCCGCAGGTGTGAGACTTCTTGAACGTGGCTCTTTGGCGCTCCGCCGACCCGGACGGTGTCTTCGGACCTTCTGACGCCGCCGGCCTCAGGTCACTTTCGCTGCGCGGTGCGTACACCGTCTTGCCCTCCACGGCCGCCTTCTGAATAACTTCCATTCTGGCCGCTCACCCCTCAACTGGGCCTCACACGAGCCTGCGACTGGACTGAAAAATGTGGGTTAGTGAGTCGGAAGGGCGCACAAAGCGTCAATATTTAACCCGGTGCTCTCTATATCGCGGGCCCATATATAAGCATATTTTTTCCGGTAGGGCAAAATTTGTAGTGTGTGTTTGCGGTGGGTATTTTTATCAGATGTCGTGACTTTTGTGAATTTTATCGTACTTATTTATTCCACTGTTAAACCATCCGTGTATAACCTCATGTTCAGAGACAGTCGCTCGCCTTTGACTTGTGGCTTTTGGGAACAACAGTGTGTGTGTCTCTGTTAAACCGTGAAAAGTCGCCTTCCATTCCGCAACATATTCACTCTTTTATGCCCAAGCCCACCCTCTGAACCTCATCATTGTCGAGTGACATCAATGGTATCGACAGGGTGGCGGGAAAGGCGCGACGCGAGGCGGACTCTCGAGCGCGAGCTTGAAGAAAGAACTCTCGGGCCAATCTTGGGGCACACGGTATTTGCATAATAAACAATATGCGGTGCCTAGACTGCAGAGATAAGAAGGAAAATACAATAAATTATATTACATGGCTATTTGAGTCGCGGCAATGAAACGAACTTTAGCAGAGAGCTCACGAAAATCCCCTCTCTTAATCCACAAATTCCTGCGTGACACATGGACTGGTATTTTATGTTTCAATTATTAAAGTAAAATGACATTCTTGCATACATTATGTCTAAGGACCATCAAAGGACTACATAGACAATGTGAATTGGAAAATATAATTGTAACATCCGCGAATCGAATTGATTTTAAACTCTTCTGCCATTCTAAGAATTATCAACTTAATTCTGCGAAATTGATCTATATTTAAATACGCAAATTCCAACTCCTCGATCTCATTTCTATTCCACAGTTTAACACAATAATCTGTGGAAATTCCCGCATCCAAACACCTCAATAATATGAGTGCTAATTTGTCTACTGTGTTGTAATTAGAATGTTTGTTGGCTTTTTGGACTTTCACTGGAGCGATTGAATGCACACAAAAGTGTATCTTTTTCGTATCTCCGCATGTTTATTGCGTCAGTTCAACAGGAAGGAGATATGAATAGGCCACAGTGTAAAGTAATTTATAAATCATTTGTGAGAATGACTTCTTAAATTGGCTACATTTCGTTGGGATTTCTTTTCCACGTCTCACTTGCGGTTCGAGCTTCTCTTGCGACTGCGGAAAGAGCATCTCTGGAAGCCCATCGCATGGTTTCTTTCACATGACATCAATAATGTAAATTAATTAGCCACATGGTGCTAAATTATTACTCAAATTCAGAGCATAAAAGGAGTGTATATTGGAAGGAAATTCGTGGTCACATCTCTTGCCAATATTGATTCTGACTTTTAGCAAGAAGAGCATCTTCTTCTCGCCTTGTGCCTGCTTATCGCTGCGCAAAAATTCACTATCTGCAAATAAATTTGGCGAATCTTTATCTTGTCTCACTCTGGAGTGTTGTACACTTTTATGGCTGGCACGAGTATGATAATTCTGATGTGTTTTTTCCGCCTCGGCTCGCCATTGAGCAACATTTCATGGCAATTCATCTCGCATGATGCCTACAAATTGTCGCAGTTTAATTGGCAATATTGATTTTAAGACTCTTTCGCCATGCAACGCGGTCAGTTAATTAATTTTCTATTACTGCAGAGCAGGAAAGAATAATTGTGACGGTTGAAACAGGGGAATAAATCAGTCTCTGGGTGTTGCATGTCAGCGCAAAGCTCGCCACTGTTGGCCCTAATGGCTAAGAAACTACGTGGTAATTTAGTGATGACCGCAAACTCATTTCATGTCACACACAACGTCCAGAGGTAAGATTTTGGAGCGCATTAGTGAATTATTAAAGAATTACCCCAAAACTTTTCACTATCACAGACACTCCACTATCTCAGCACTTAATAAATTTGTGGCCGTAGAGCAAACTTGAGCAATATATATATACTTTTGCCAACTAATCCCAAAAGTCAGCACTTGCACGACTCTCGCGTACGATATTAAGCGCATTCAACAGCAAACTGAGCATGAGACTTGATGCGAGGAATATACCTTCTAGTTATCGCGAGCCCGCAAACACAGTGAAAAGAGCCCACCCACAAATATAATTCACACTCTGTGGCAATGTTCTTTGTCACTCAAACAGCCACACACCGTCTGCACAATTGCAAGGAGCGCGGAGCCACACTGGGGCCAAGGTGACGAGTTCAGAGGATCAACATGACTGCATGGGAGGCTTTCACAGAAATTAAATTCACTTTCCACCCTTCAGCCTTCGCGTTGTGCTCCAAAGTCCGGCGGACACTCAACCTTTTCCTCTCGAGAGGTTACTTTTTGCCGGCAAGGTGCTAAAAAACACTCACGAATGCTCAACAGGGGAAGAAGAAAAAATTGTGGCGAATAGTTTTTCAGCCAACGTGCAAGTAATGCCGAGTTTTTGCTGAAGATGGTCAATGAGAAACACTGTGAAAAATTCATTTGCATCTTGACTGAGAATTTAGGTTACAGCGTCACGTTTTTTTCTTTCTCAGATTATGTTATTAACACTTTACTGTTTCATGGGTGAGAGTCGTAAGATTGAATTGTCTCGAATCTTGTGTTGAATAGTTATTGCAGAGCTGGGATTCATTCTTGACTATGGCCTTCGATTTAGGCAAATATCCTTGGAGTTTGTATGTAAAATATTCAGTTTATAGTTCATGAACTTTCCTCCTTGGGGGCCTCACGTGGAATTTCTTTAATCATTTCGTGACTTTGCCCGATATTTCAGCACAAAATTTAAATTATACATCCTCGAGAGAGCTCTTTGTCTGCTCTGTCCCACATACTTGCCTATAAATTTCCCCCAACATTTCTCTCAAAGAGGGACCCAAACCACACTCTTGTCGTCCAAAAGCCGACTCTCTTGCAATTTCAATTACATAAAAAATGATAATTGCTCTCGAGGAGGCGAAGATAGGAAAAAACTGTTTAGATTTTCTCGTCATACCTTTGCCTGAAAATAGACTGTCTCCACCTCCGCGACTCTTTTTTTTTTGGAGATATTCAAATGAGCCGAGGAAGAGAAGTGTGGTTCTAAATTTAACATGCCCTTTGATTTAATCAGGTTTCACGTGCAACTCCCCATGCCGCCATCGCGAATTGATTGTTTGTGTGGCGAATCTCAAAGTCAAAACATTCAAATTGTTGTAAAAATTTGCATAAGAAAACCTTCATTTTCGTTACCTTGCGAGAGGGTGCACTTTGCTCATGTTGCCGTGTGGGTGGCATGAGAATGATCCCCCTTTCCTGGCCCATAAAACGTCCTCAATGTTGTTTCCGTTGAATTTGAATGAGTCCAGTGTGAAATTGAAACATGTGAGATTCGATAATTTCTCAAATATTATTTTTATTTTATTCGAATTTTTATTATTTTAGTTTTATCATTTAATTATATTTATACGATTCTCTTTTTTTCAAATTATCATCAGTTTTTCTCTCTGTAAAACAATTTATAAAATTACATTACTGTTTACAATATACAAAAAATGTATTGATTAAATATTGTATTCACTTAGACATCATGAAGAGTTTTTACGGTGTCAAATTTGAGACTTCACAGTCACCTCAAATTTTCTATCTATGTTTTTTTTACCTTCTCTTGTCAAATTTCGATATAAAGTGTGACTCTCTAGGTTAGCTAATTAATGAGTTACATTTTGTAGTTTTGTCATCCTGAATTTCAGCTAACCATTCTCGTGAATCTGAATACCGTACTGATTAACTTGAATACGATCTGTGATTACAATCTATTGAGAAAATTATTCACTTTTAAAAAAACCTACCAATATTTGTTTCTCTCTTGCTCTGTCAAGATATTACTAATTTAGTTGATGAGTTTAATTGCGAATGACTCCATTATTATTTTTAATATTCATTTATTAGTTTTATTACTTATTGACGTTTACTTTACTATTAAATTTGTTCATTTCTTTTTTACTATTCCTTATTATTATGAATTTAATAATGATTTTTATGAATTATTTAAATATGAAAATGTGTGAATTTATTAAAAGCCTTTATATCATCAAGTTGTCCCCTATTAAGTAATATTAAACTTGGTGGCTATGAAATGGCTTCCTTTATCATTCTATTGAACTTTCAGTACATAGACTGCTCTGCATTTTTTTTTGTTGTTTGTATTCTTAATTACTTTTGCGAGTGAGAATTTATTTGTATAGGTTTTCAAACGTCTCGTTTCTCAATGCGTTCAAAATCAGAAGTGAGACTAACTTGTATTTCTAATATTGATTTTTGTGCTTTGGTTTTCCATATATGCCTATTTGTTGTTGCTTCATCGTTCTTATTTATGCGTTCAGTAAAAATTTACTACGGTTTCAAATTTTTCACAAATCTCTTTCACTGTCAAGTTTTCGATTGCAAACCAATTTGATCCATATCTTCTGTATAAAAATCTCTTCATAATTAACTAATTTTTTTTTCATATTCGTTCATCAACGACTTGTTTTGGCAATTTAACAATACTAATACGACAAAAGATACTCTCTTTTATTTCATGTAATAACACGCCAGCTCAAGGTTATATTTGTGTGAAGTTTGTGAGCTTGAAAATATTCCGAGATAAGAGATAAAAGATAAAGTGCGCTCTGAGTGGGTGTTTTTGGTTTTTGGAGGAAACGAATTGTAAATTTTCTAACCTGCCCACAATTTATACACTAAAGACTTTTTTTTATCTGGCCGACTAACGATGATTCTTAATGAACTCTTTTTTTTAAGTAAATTTTCATTATATCTTTTATTTCGTCTTAATTCTTGAACAACGACATTAAATATATCACAGTCGTGCTGTTGATAATTACTTTTAGTTGTTTCCATGTCTTTTATTTTTAAAATTCCTTTTTTTTCGCGAATTTTGTCCTCCAATTTTCCCATATCTTCAAATTTATTAACAGTTCGTTTGTTCTTGAAGCCATGATCTTGCCTTCACACGAGGAAAATTGTTTATCGCCCCCAGTGGATATTTTATACAAGCACATATTGTGATTATTTTATCTTTTCCCACATCAGCTATCAACCTTTCATTAGATATTCCATCGAGGTCCATGCCATTGAATTTAGTCAGGAGAATAATAAAGAATTTGAGTGTCCAACAGAGATAATCTTTTCGCATTAAAATGCAATTCAACTGATGACAACAGATATTGCTTGTTTAGGCTACACTTTACTTTATAGGATGTCAATAAATTATTTGATCATTTGGATGTTCTACACATAAACAGATCATACGATTCCCGAAAGTATAGAAGTCTTCTTGTTTAAAATATTCTTTCAACTCTTCACGAAAATACATTGAAATTTTAACTATTTTCACTTGCATTGCATGGCAATTCTCATGCAAAATGTCTTTTTTTTATAAGTAAATAATGTCAATTTAACTCACGCAGCACAGCACGAAATGCAGTGATTCCCAAGATTCAATTTTTGCAATAAGGACCCTAAAACGGATATTTTCGTATTAACTAAAAGTGGTTTTAAAGAGTTAGTACTGTCGTACGATCAATGTCAACCGATTTCGTGCTGTGTTTCCAAGTTAGTTTATAGTTTTTCAAGTAGGAAAGATTTACAATTCAGTGTATTTTCCTTTCCATATTTGCTATCAATAATTCGATTTGTCTATATATTTTTCTCTTAATACATTATGCAATCTTTATACAATTATTCATCAACGATAGATATAAACAAATTGAGTAAAAATGGAAATAGTAAAATTTACAATGATTCTTAAAATTTGTTTTTTTCCTCATGTTTTATAGCTGCGACAATAAATGCGTTCTTCGCCTATTCTTACACATTAAATCGTATAAGAATAATTGGCGTGACTTGAGATGAATCGGATGAAAGTGTGTAATATTGAATCTTTGGAACCGAATCCAAAAATTTCACTCCTTTTTATCTATTCATGATAGATGATAATATAATCTCTTATATAGTTTCAATTTCTCTATAAACTCTTATCTATAATCTTCTATAGAGTTTCTTTTTTCTTCATTTAATACAACTCCAGCTGTATTTCAAAAAATTAACTATTTACCTATCATTTCTCACTATTTTTCCTTTAAAGTTACATATAATTAAGGTATTGATTTTGCATTTATAGCAAATTACGATTTTCACACACAGAATAGATTAAAAAGGTGTGTGCTTTTGTCTTCGGTACATATTTTTGTATCGTACATATGAGAATATATTTAGGTTGAGTATATAGAAAAAGGAGGAGCAACCAAAAGACTTAAATTAGTCGTACGAAAACTAAGTTTTATGTATGTACATATAAAAATCTATCAAAAAATTGAAACCAGTTTTTCATGGTAATGTTTTCTGTGTTTCTCTGGGGATATCGTCTCTTGCTCATCATTAAAATTGATCTCTTTTTTTTGTTAATTCATGTCTTTTAAATATTTATTTTTTTGAAAAGGTACCATTCCCTGTTAAAATCTTTATGAATTTAAACTTATTGTTTAATTTTATATATTCATTTTTGGTTGATTGGATGATAAAATATGGTATATTTAATTGGGAATTATATTTAATGGGGCTTTTCCTTTATATGAATGTCTTTATTTAATATTCTTTTTTCATTTCTCCTATTTATTTGTTTCTTTTATTCTTCTTCTTTTTTTAAAATGGCAGGCTTATTTGGACATCACGAACTTGAAACAGATATAATTGTATAGAAAAATGTGAAAGAATTGTGAATTTAAAGTTGTAGTCTCTGGTTGTTTGTCTTCCATGAATGTATGTTTAAAAAATTAAGGAAATATTGTGTGTAAGTGTTACGAAGTAGTTAGTTTTCCTTTCTCAAAAATGTACTCTGGTGTCTTTGTAAAAGTGAAAGTGATATGGTCAAATATTAGTATTGACTGTCTTTGGTATGCATTTAATGTGATGATTTTTTTTTAATAGTGGTATCGCTTTTAAATATTGCATTATTATTATGAAATTCGGTAATTATCTCTTGGTAGTCATTATTTCATATGTTATAGAGAACGGTGGGCGGGTGGGCATCGTGTTAAATATATTTTCTCTTGCTTTCAAAAGTATTCAATCTCTTCGGATCATGCCGAGCGCTTGAATGCATTATACTTGATTTTAGTTGAAAAACCAATTTTCGAAACCGAAAAAATGCTGAATACATTGTCAACAACAGTATGATATCCGAATTGGTGAATTACGACATCAAATTTAATTGAAAAATTGGTTATATTTACGATGATTATAATATATGATTTTAATTTCATGTTAAGAATTACTCTCTAAATTCTTAAAAACGTAAGCATCATTATTTGAATCTTTTCATCTTTCACATCATCTCATCTGGTAATTATAGTTGAACGACGATAGTAATTTTTTTTGTTATATTAGTTACATTACGCTTAATTTCAATTTCCATTGGAAAAAAATATTTACAAAATTCTTTATGAAAATTGCAATGCATTGGTTTTCTTCAATTGTGTGTCTTTGAATACTTGTCAAGTACATTTCATTCTTCATTTCCTATATAATATATATATATATATATATATATCTTTCATATACATATTTTTATATGCAATTTAGGTATATGAATAACTTTGGTATTTATTCAAAAATTCATTTAAAATTTTTTCCATGACGCGTGAATAAATGATCTTTGAGTGCTTCCTCGCAAGATGAAGAAGATGACCTCCACTCGTATTTATTCATTTTTACCTAAATATATGTATATCCTAATCACGTTAAGTCTCTTCACTAACCTAGCAAAAATTGCTAAAATGACGCGGATTTCTTGTAGGTATAGTTTTATGCATAGAGAAAAGAGATGGTGAATGTTGAGTGAGTGGGTGGGAGAATGTTAGAGTTTAAGAAGTTTAGATACAAATTTAATAATTAACAAATTGATTTTGTGATAAAACCAATAACAATAACCCCTCTCATATGGCTACGAGACAATAATATGTGGAGCCGAAAATAGAACAGCTATTGTTGCAACTATTGTAAAAAAAGTGAAAATTATAAGGCACAATCTGTCAACGACCATTGCTGCAAATTTCCAGTCACGTGCAACTTCGCTCTCCTCATCTTCTTTTCGGAGCTGCAAAATAGTAGAGAGATAATCGTTATTACTAAACTGTCTTTCTCCATTTTACGTGCGGTGGCGAAGAGTAATTTGTTTCGCACTAAAATTCGATACGGAGAGAAAGAGAGCTAGAAAGATAGCGTCCGGAGGTTAAATTAAATGTGCGGATTAAGATATGGGGAACCCATAGACATACATACCTGATCAGTAATGAAACGTATCTCTTTGAGGATTAAGGCTAACTCATAATCAGCTGACGATTTTATGCACGTATGCGGTGTTATAGCGTCTGGCATCCGAGTGCCTCCTATTGGTCCGATACTGCCATCATCCCCTGGTCTGTGATTTACGAGAGCAGAGTTGAGATAAAACGGCTGGACATTACTTTCTGCACACTAAATTTCACTTGAACGCCTTCCGAGGGGTTAACAGATACCTCACTTTTAGCACAGCCACTTCTTCTTCCGGATTAATTGCTCGCTCTTCGGGGGATTGGAAGGGGGCGATATTTTTCGCAATGCTATATGTCGCATTAGGGATTCTTGGAGGAGATTATTCTGCTCAAAAGGGTCCAGTTCGGAGCAATAGAAACTTTGTCATTAAGATGTCCTTTAGAAGAACTACAGATCGCAAGCATTTAATTGTCACTGCCTAGCATTTCACACTAATACACAGCAGAAGTGCGACCTGATTAAGTCCTCCTGTGAATTGTGTTTATCGACATTTTTCTTGCTCAATGAAAATGGGGAAATATCCAAAGTTGTTGAATTTGACATACAGTTTCGAAGAATTTTTAATTTTTTACTCGAATTTGCAATAATTCAGTAAGTCTGTTTTGGCTTCACATTAAAGTTCCGACAGAGTGTTAAATATATGGAGACAGTGTGTGAATTTAAAGTCTTTCATAAAACTCCGCTCCCAAATTGCTCCTGCGGCAATTTCAACCGGAGCATTAAGGCCATGACAACAAGTTAATTACGTTCTCTTGGTCCCTAATGTCTAAAGTGCATAAAAGTTGAGTGTGTGTGTCAACTCCTTGGGTTGGCGCATTGTGGAGTGTACAATACTTCAAAGTCAGCCCTTGGGACATTCAACAATAATCTCGCTTGAAAGGATATTTGACAGAAAGTTGATGTGGATTGAGAAAGTGACCCAAGGCCTGACTTATGTAATTTCGTGTGCATATCTCACCCATAAACCGTACGAAAATATGTGGGATTGTGTGGTATAGTTCCACCGGGAGTTAAAGTTCTACAATTGTGTCGAAAATCATCATCAATATCTAAGACATTGGCGAGCAGAGATTTTGATGATCTGCAAAAGAGAATTTGTGTGAATTTTCTGTAGTATTGTGGGTGGTTCTGTCGCTCACCTTTCCTTTAATTCTACATCGTGGATAGTTTGCTTTCGATCGGAGGTGTCGGAACAAGGTGTCGGAGGGTATTCCATCGATAAGTTACGTCTCGGCCGATTCATTCTCAAAATGCAAGGTAGCCAATATAAAAATATGAGTTTTATCTGCAAGAGACACAGAGAAGTGGGAAGGACGATTAGTGGAATGTTGCAGAAGCTCCTTCACATATGCTGCAATTTGTTGTACTGTGATACTTAGTGATTACTTCGACACGATATACCTTTCTAAATCGTCTCAAGTTGTTAGTGTATGTTGTGAGCAATTTACATAATTTCCTCTCCTTGACACCCATGTTTAATATCAAATAATTAGAGTTGGGTGCCACGAGAGCGAGAGTGAGTCCGGGAATGAATATTTATCTACTGATGAAAAGTGGTTATAGCCACACACACAAGCACACAGAGTCTCATTAATTAATAATAAATGTAGCATCAATATATGTTATTATGTTTATGGTATTAAAATACCACCCCAACGATAGTATGATGCGCCAAATGTTCCTAATTGCTAAATCAATCAATTCACACAGTGACTCCCATATCTGTCCAATACACCATGATATGTATGTACATATATAGGGACTCATCATGATGAAGCATTGTTGAGCGCCACATATCACTGTGTGATTATTTTCTGATTTGAGCCAGAGTTGTCCGCTCTCCAGATGAATTTCCCATTAGATTTCCGGGTGCGATGAGTAATATCGATTAACCCCTGGGCAATCGCCATGAGGGGGTCAATTTCCCGATGATGTGAAAAAGGCTGCCCCAACTGTTTTAACTCTGCACATCACAAGCTTTCATTGCAATTAGACTGAGTGGCGGAAGAGTGTTTTAATTTTGTGCCAGTCCGACAAAACGAGTATCAATTCACTGGGGGGGCAAAATGACAAGCGACGAAAGGGGTGAGAAATTGATTTTTGAGCCACACTGCTTATTATTCCCTTGAATAAGCTCCCCATTGAAAGTTTTCACTCATAAAATTATCACTGAAAATATATTTCTTGGCTCACATCCAGGAATCTAACAGGTGGAAAGCTGCTGTTGTAAATTTTCCAATGCCTGTGAGATTAATTTAAAATACATCCATTTGGTATTAATCTCATGAACAGATTCACTTTAAAATTTCAAGGGGGGAGAAAAACAGCATGCAATGACTTGGAAGGCAATCTTGGCGCACTGCCAGAAACACTCTTGACAGCAATTTCAGCCCCTTTTCTCATGGTCCTCACCCAATAACTCAAATATACGCCTCTCAGATGTGCTGTGAATTGAATCCCGAATTTGGCAACAGTTTCCACCCCATGAACACAACTCTTGCTGACCATCACGGAAACTCATGGTCACATCCGCTTCGGTATATAATTTCCTTATTTATATGACCAGCACCAGCGGTCACTTGGAGAACAGCTAAAGTGAATCTCCGACAATTTGCACAAGAGATGCTTGTGGATTTTCTTTACTGGCTGAATCTATATGGTAAAATTGAAATGTTGATACACTCCCGAGTCTCTGCATTGATATGCAAAGTGTGTGAGAATCAGGGAGGATGGCAATCCGATGAGAGACCGTGTCTCTGGCGGTGAGGCGATAATCCTCAAAGTGTTGTGGGACGACAATTCCACCAGGGATATGCTGGTTCCATTGCCACATCACTTTCCACGTGAGGTGGAGTTTAGGGTGTCACAAGTTTGCATTCCGGCGGCCGAGAATGAAGAAAGTGCCAATCGAAGTGTTGACTAATTGCTTGCCAATGTGCATTTGGACTAATGTGTGAAGGTGCTGCAGGTTTGATTTATTGGGCGTCGATACATATTTGCTCTGCTCCGATCATTCAGCATTAGAACAACACCATTGATTGTGAAGACATTGTACGAAAAGGTAGGTGAATTAGAATGGCAATATGTACTTATTTGTCAGAAATCTTCAAATTGATGAACGCTTAAAGAGAGTTTTAGCCAAATCTTTGTCAATTCCAACAATTTCTTACGGTTTTCCGTCAATCGCGATGAAAATTAATGCACTATCTATATATTCTCTAACTTCTATAAATGATACATTAAATGATTGATAAACTGGTTCTAATTTAAAATAAAATATTTCAGGTCCAGAATTTGCAATTGAAATTTTAAATGGAGCACAGTTTGGAATATTGAAGACAGTCCTTTGCAATAAACACGATTTCCTCGTGATTGTTCAAAAAATTGCCGACAAAATGATTTGTTTTTGCGAACAACTACCGAGACGAATGTTAAATGCAAATTTGCCGATACATTGAACGTCTGTGGGCGGTGGTGAGGTGAGACTCTATGCTGCACTGCATTTGAGATTTGTGATCTCTGAGGTGTGAGTCCCATTCGAATATATTAATAATCCATTCGCTGGGTGGATGTCAATGAATTAGCACACGGCTCCACATCCCCAGCGTGTTGCCAAAAATAGTGTTATCGTCTATTTTTAATTGCACTTCACATGCAACGCCATGTGAAAAGTTGATAATAAATTTATCACTTTTGCAGCCCAACAAATTTCCCGGGTAAGTTGAAATGTGGGGTGCAAAGTGGGGTATCGATTGAATTATACTCACCCAATCGGACATTTCATATGTGTCAGCATTGCGATGATGATAATTTAATATTAATATCGTCGATACGACTGAAGATGCAACCATAAACATTATACAGTTGAAATATGTTCCTGCAATTACACCACAGAATATAAGGGAGGTTTTTAGTAAGAAATACTCTCAGTTTTTCCCCCCTTGAATGGGGGCACATTTCTGAGTGTCACATCTTGCAGACTATAGACAAGAAAATGCAAATGGATGTTATGAAAAACGATAAGAATATTCCACCCACACTTGAGCTGCAAAGCTCGCCTGTGCCCTAGTTTTGTGAAGTTTCGTGGAAAAACTTTTCTCCATCGTCCCCAAAACACGGTGATTGAATGGGAGAGGTCATATTTTCCAAGATAAAAATAAATAAAATATTAATTCTATCCGATGGAGCAAAACGGAAGTTTTATCTCTCTGAAAAATCATTTGGTTCAAACTTTCTGATTTGCATCTTTGAGTCAAACTTTCGTGATTTCAACCCTATAACTTTTCGCCAAACTAATTCAACACACAGAGTGCGGGAGAATTGACATGTGAGAAGAGTTGGAATAATTGATTTACTTAGAGGATGTGGGTGGGAATTTAATCAGAAATGTTTCATCTATATTCTTAGCAACTCTGCTTGATTGAAATGACTCTCAGAAATGCCAATGACAAGTCCTTCAATCGCTTAATAAAAATTCCAGGGGAGATGCAATTTTGGCGAAAAACAATCAAAGAAATGCTCTATTCAGGGGGTGCAAATGGGGCGCAAGAGGAAGCCCAAAAGTGAAATATATCGAATGAAATGGTGTGGAAACTCACCTAGAAGTGGAACAGCATCCGATGTGGCTGGCATTGTTTCAGCAACCATGTTCAGGAAAACGGTGAGTGACAGTAAAATCGTTACACCTAGTATCATTAAAATTGATTTTCCATTCTTTTAGCTCTCATTTGATGTGTTTTCTTAGTGTCAAATATGTGTGTGAAATGCTTTTTCATGTGTCATGTGAGGAATATATAGTTGGTGTGGCACAATGTTAGGCAGTATGTACAATGGCTCACTAAATGTTATGAGAAACGAAATAATACCACTGATACCTAGAAGCTTTACGTTCGCACTGTCCAGACAACAGAAGTGAGAAAAAAACAGGCAGTTTAGGTAACATATAACAACACAAGAATGGTGAGACGATGTATTGATGGTCGGCTCTCTTTTTTTGCGTGGCTCCTCTTTGGCTCCTCTGCGTCCCGCTGTGACTTGACTCTTTTCCTGTGTACAATGGCTAATACAGAGTGGCTTTTTGGTGTATACATTCAATATTAAGTGAAGCGACACTAAACGTTCCTGGTGAATAATTCTAAAATAGCAACACCGACAACACCGTTGACAGTGTGACATGGCGGTGAATGGTGTGTGGAGAAATTATGCCGTGTTACATGGATAGGCATTAATTAAACTTAAAGGACATTGCCATATGCCAGTGTGTTGAATAGCAATTTTTACAATAACAACTTCTAGCAGATGCACCCAATCACACAGTCCTCGCCATGTAGCCAGCACACCACATGCTCTGCAGGAAAAATCTCACGAGATACTCTGTTGGGGGCGCGATTTTCCATGATATTTTCACTACAGTGAATGCACTGTGATGGCTACGAGGAGAGAACGGGGGGGGGGGGCGCTGTTCGCCAAGTCGACGATTGGCTGTCTTGGGTGTGGAACTCCCTAGAGAGATAAGTTCCTCTCCAGGAAATGAATGATGATGGTCTGGGAAGCAGAGAAGTTCCGCCAGCGAAAAGTCTGCGGGATGCCCCAAAATGATGCCACTGATGGTCCAAAATAATTCAATCCATCTTCAATTTTTGCTATAGCACTGAAAATTTCCTCACGCAACAATCATCCACCCCGGCATTCATACATCATCTCGCAATTTATCTATAACACCACTTGTAAGCTCTCTCTCTTTCTCTCTCTCTCTCTCTCTTTTCTTGTACTTCCCATCTGTGTCTTCCATGCCACCCACTCACACCCCACGTGAACTTTACATTGCCTCCAACAATATACACAGTCGTGGGCCCACAGAATTTCATTTGCATCGATCATTCACTTCTTGTCTGCCTATCATCGGATTTCTTTCCATCGCACAGATTTTAGCAATTACTATTGGCCATCATCGTGCAATAAAAGCGAGAATTGCGGAGGAGAGACGCAATATTTATCACGGTGGTGTGATAATGATTTTCATTCAGCGAAATTGAGTGATTTTCGCATGCAAACCCACGGAAAAATTTATGACTGGTGATTCCCTGTGGAGTGGCGTTTTAATGGACACCATTTCCTCTCTCTCTCTCTTTCTCTCCCTTTCAACTGTAGATTTTCATGGAAACTTTAACAGAGCATTTTCGCAGGAGGAACCAGTTTATATATGATGCTTGTCGAACAACGGTTGGAGGCAAATCTTCATGAAGTTTGCAGAAGCTCTCCATAGACTCAGATAAACAAAGAAGGAGCATAGCTATTTATTGCAATTCCAACTCATATTTGTCTTGGGAAAATCCATGTCAGTACAATTCACTCAATGTACAGGGAAGTTTCCCTCAAAAGGGGTTCATCAGCTTGAAACATGAGATGAGCTTTGATCTAATTGAATAAGAAAATACAAACTAAAACTGTTTGAGGCCGTCTCTCCTCCCCAGAGGCGCAATTCCCTGGAATGGTTTTTATTTTCGGATGACGGAATGAGGCATCTAATTTCTGTGACGCTCTCAGAGCGTCTCAAATCACCTAGCAGGGCGCACTTCCCAACCCCTCAGTCGTATCGTGTTTCGGAAAGAAATTTTGACAGACAATTATTCACATGGACCCCTTTTTGGCAACGACACAGATCGCTAGTGATAAATGATAAGAGATGAAAGGATGCGGCCACACACTGACTCTACTAACATTTGCATATCTGCTCACCTAGTGATAACTTCTCTCCCGAATCTGGTGGCAGTGTAAATCCTAGTAGAGCCATTGAGGCGATCAACACACATGGCACAATTAAATTGAAAAAATAGTACAAAGTCCTTCGGCGGATAATGATAGCAAACGTGATGTCAATATACGGTTCCGGGCAACAGTTATAGTAGATTTCGTTCCTCTTCCCCGGGACGCCTGTGAAGAAAGTCTTAATGTGAGTTGCATGGCATTACCAATAACATAAACCACCTGCAAGATACATATTTATAGCGGGCTGTCACATAGTAATAATGCATGAGAGCTCGGCATTAAAATGAGCCTCTCTTCCTCTACCGGGGAGATCATTTGACCTACATTACCCACCTGCTGGGAATCGCCCCTCCTTGCTTTCCGGGGTTTAAACTTTTTCCAACATCATAATATCTCGGGCACAATATCGTGGAAAACTATTCATCCCACGGGAGTGAATACAAAGTCATAAATTCTCGTTTAACCCCTCAGTACTGGAATCATTCCATAAATAAGGTGAATAATACCCAGAGAAAATTATTATTGCAGACTTACTAAAGTTTGCCAACTTTTTCACTTCCCGGCCAGCCGCTTTTTTATCGCCCACAAAAAACTGGATCTGTTTACTCTCTCTCCTACGGAGCTTTTAGTAATTAAAACATGGTGAAAAATAGAGTTTTTTAAACACCCAGGCAGTGATGTTTCTGTACACAAGATATGAACATATGGAAGAGTTTTGATGAAACTATTTTAGTAGAAAAGTTGCTTTATTTTTGAACAGGAAAAGCTGTGAACAGCATCAACTCCGCATAACGCCAGAATTTGTAATTGTTGCATGAAAATTCGTTGTTCACGTCTTGAGTGTCGAGTTGTTTGTGTGCCTTTTGAAGATTACACTAATTGAAGTATCAAAGAAGGAGATCATGAAAAGTTGCCGCTTTCGCCTTATCTCTGACCGAGCTTTTGTTGCGCACTCTTGAAAATCACTCACCAGTGAACTCTTCCACTTTCCAAACTAACAATGGAAAATCACAAGCGATGATTTCCACGCAAGAAAACAATAGAGCGAAATGTACATTTTCCAAAATCCCATCTTGAGAAATGAAACATATAAAAAAGGAGAGAGAGAAAATATAACTTTCAGATGACATGCAACTATTTCTGAAATCGATGGAATATGAATTGATAAATTTATAATTGTTTCTTTCCATCGATGCCCGGAGAGCATGGAAAAGTACTCTTTTGGTGAGATGCGATATTACCATTTATCAAAACATTTCAAATCCATTCGCTGAAGATGAAAAATAGCCCTTCGAGAGAAAACGACAAGCAAGTGATTATATTTTCACTCATATTTATCTTGTGGCCTCTTTTTTCCCTCCATTTCAACATGTCTGCGAGTTGTTGGCAAAAGCGAAAACTCTCTCTCTCTTCAGAAAGTTCATATTTAGTGAAGGAAAAATGGCGTGATTCAATTTCTCTCATTCTTCGTCTAGGCTTTGCCAGAAGTTTAAATAAAAAGCCACCACAAATTGTCAGTAGTAAATTTTTCTGGTCAGAGCAAATTACAGGGAAAAAAAGTTACGATGTGGTGCAGAAAAATGTGCAATTTGTTGAGCTTTGCCAACCAGTTGCATCGCTGAAAGATGAGACACATTATTTTTCCTGATATGTTTTTTTTCTCCCCTCAAAGAGTTGCTGAATGAATTGCTTTCCGCTTAGCAGGGGATTTTCCTGTGTGTCTTAATGCAGTTCTCCCATATGCATTGCATATTTAAAAGACCAAGAGATTTTAATTAAGCCAACCCACATTTTCACACATTCTAATTTAAATGCATGGCTGAGTATGCTTTCATGAGCTTTGCAACAATGTGGTAACCCTTTATCTCCACTAAACCCTTTTGCAAATGCAACGGGGAAGATGCAAAACTTCCAACTCTTTTGAATGACAATTTGAACAATAATTTGGACTTTATGCATGCCAAATTGAATTATGTTCACATGTGTAAAATTACAGTCTCATCTCGATGCAAAATGCCCATGGAATGCATTGTCGACCAATTGAAAATAATTCACTTTTCCGCAACTTGTTTTGAATTATGCAAAAATATTTAAATGGGCTGTTTCGCAATTGCATTTTCTACATTTTACCCATATTTAACTGCATACCTCGCGATGGTACGTGAATAAACAATGGGGAAATGTGATTTCCAGGGGATGGGATTGAATTTCCAATTGACCAGGGCGTCATGGAGTCCTCTTGAAGAGGAACTCCGAATGCATCCTTATTCAAATGATCTACACCACAAGTAGTCGGCGGAAGAGCGCTGGGGTATTGATTTAGATGGAGTATTCGCATTGCTGGAAAATCGTGTAATGAATAAAATATGATGTGGTGAAAAGATATTGATCAGGAGGTGGGTGGAAGCTGTGAATTTTTCCTTCTGAATTGATGGGATTTCCTCGATGGCATGAGAGTTTAACAGCGATCAATTGAGATAATTGAATTAGAGTGAAATCATTTGTGCAAAAGTAGATATTTGGACCACTTTATTGTGGTGATTTTTTGTAAATATATCCGGCGATGTCTATTCTTGTTTGTGACAAAATATTGCCTCTTGCCATATGGAATACGTGTAATCGATTGTGAAATTGAGTTCTGCCACTTTACATTAGATACAACACGCAATATCCTGGCACTAAAAGATACACACATACTCCATCCCACACTGTCGCATGGAAATATTGGTGAATGGGAAGCGACAAGAAGGCGATGGAAGAGAACAGCCAGAGCGACTCCGGTGTAATATATTGGTTCCAAAAATATGTGCTCAAGTGAAAAGTTTGCATTTATGGTGGCAAAAGGAGCGTATTTGAATTATTTATTCTTTTATTTTTCACCGCTGGATATTATTCTATTTCTCACTCTAATATTTATTTTGACGTGAAATAAATTGCTTCTTGAAGAGAAATGTGTGCCTTTGGCTTCGAGCAATTGGAAGAAGCAGCAGCAGTATGTTCATCATTCAAAATCTCCCTCTTGAACCCCCTTTGATTCCAGCACTGCAAACCCAGTAATGCCCTTTTGTCATTTTCCACCCGCCCCTTGGCACAAAGAGGAATAATAAAGTGAAAGAAATTGAAGTATGGATTGGCGGGAGCGACAAAGAGTGGTAATCTATGGCGCTACTCACCGAGTAAATCCCATTCGCCGTTTGTAACAAAACTGCTTATGTCACCACCTGTCTCATCCTGAAGTTGTAAATCGAGCTGCGTGAAGCAGAGAAAACATCGAGATTAACGACTTTCCATCGAGGTGCTAGTTTAGTGATTTTTTTCCGGGATGCTCCTCAATTGATGAAAAATGTGCTGATAACTGAGAAAATGGCCTTATCGCTTCCTGTTTCATTAGGTCCTTTCACACTTTCACTTAGCAACATGTTGCCATGAGGCAAACTTCGCTGATGGGCTTTATTGCTAGTCAAAAGCACCGTTCGGGAAGCATTAAATCCAAATTATAATTGATTATGTGACAAAATTGATAAAAATCTGGTAATGTTGGTGTCTTTGAGGTGGGTTCAAAAATTGTATATGATTTAATATTTATCGATGAAAGAATAAGGAGCAGATTGAAGATTTAGTCTATACAACTAAAGTACAATCCAAGGTTCAATCTATATCAGTAAAGATTATTGTTGTAGTTTAGCCAATGCACAAGTTTAATGGCTTCGATAAAGCTAATTGCGAACGAGTCACAAAGGTGTCCTAAAAATTCGTGAGCACGATTTGTGATTCTAATTTAATAATTTGTGCAAAGCCTTGGATATAAATTTCACTAGTTTTTTGTCGCACACCATATTGAGTGTGTCGCACATTTGAATTTGGACTGCAGCCAGAGAGGCTAAGAGTATTAGGGGATGATTGAAGGGTGACATGCTCTCGCGACGGACTCACTTGAAATCCATCATAGGTCCAGCTACCGAATTTCATCTCACACCGCTGGTCGTCGAAGGGAAACCATGTGATGTCAATTTTGCACGTTGACTTGAAAATTCCCGGTGGCACATAGAGGCAGGAACCATTATTGCGAACAACCACGTTGGTTGGATACGTGCCATCGAACCCCTCATCGGCACTGTCAAAATCACAGACGAGCGGTCAATTGTCAGCGGAGTGGCTAGAATTATGCAAGGTGCTAATGCATCATACCTGTTGTACATGAGAACATCGGGCTTCCATATTCTGTGCGGTGGTATCCTCAGATCCTTGATACCGCCGTACTCTGACGTGTTCCATCGCAGGTTCATGTCATTCCACTCCAATTTCAACCAAATATTTGTCACGAGGAGCTGATTTTTCTCATCCTGGATGACGACAGAGAGAAGAAAAAGGGAGTAAATGGCAGCTTAGAATTATTTATGAGCTACTATGAGAGCGTTGCATCTCACAGTGCTTTAAAGTTTCATCGGGGATTGGGTGTTTGTTGGCTGGGCGAGAGACGAGAAAAAATCAATATCTTATTACACTTATTCAGGGGCCGCTAGAGAACCGACTAACCCTATTTGTGATGGTCTCAGGCAAGCATCACATCCCGGCCAAATAGTTCCACTTGAGCTCAATTTCCTGAATAAATTTCATGGGGGTTTACCTTCTTGAATTAAACATAATTAGAGCTATAGACTGACGAATGGGATTGTCTGTGTGTGTGTGTGCCTTTTTTCCCGGGCGACATTTTTAAAAGTGTCCTCCTTGACACCCATTTCTTTCTCGAGTGCCAAACTTTAATTAACTTTTGGGTGAATATTGGCTTTCACTCCAGCAGGACAATTGATGGCGATGGCCGATGGGACACGAGAAGTACTATGGCTGGCAGAAATATACGGACAACTATTGTAAATCTTGTCTCAACTAACTTTTCCACTCACAAAAGTGCCCTCAAACTTGCCCAAACTATTACTTTTCAAAATTTTCCACCTCCATATGCCTCCCGTAACATTCAGGGGTGATTCTCCCATGCATTCAGCGAGAACATAAATAGCCATACAAAGTTTATTAATCATCTTCAGAAAAGAATCTTTCCCATATAAGAATATTTTTCTGCCACTCTAGCAATCCAAATAAACTGTTTGGCAAGCAATTTGGCTTCATCTATCGTGTACATAGAAGACAGCAATAGCTATAGTGTAGGATTTCCTAGCAATTTCGATGTATTTATAATTAATACAGAACTATTTGTCACCTTCAACGCCGTCAACATACATATGTAGCCCGGGTGGTTTCTCAGCCAAAAATCCCACTAAGATTGAATTAAGCATTCCCTGAAGATTCACTAATTTGGTGACTTTTCCCGCCCTCACCCCTCTGAGCCCGGGCTTTGGCCAACCGGTGACTGAGTGCAATTCGCCTGGAAAATGGAAAGCTTTTTCTGGTCCACTCTACTCGTCCTGGGTTCACTCTCTTCTCCCACCACCTCAGAAACGAACTGGGTCTATTCTGAATTTGAAATGACTTCATTAAAAACATCCACCTTCCATCGTCTCACACCCTCTGTCGTCTTGTGTACACAGTTCTGTCCTTTTTTCGGGTGGCAAATTAGAAAAAAAGGTCATTCTATTATTAACAGTGCAGTGACATTAGCAATCCTATTTTTCTCTTGTCTCGTGCTGGCCTCTCCAAAGGGATGCCCAAGGATCAGAGTTGGGAGTAAAGTGGTCCTGGGATTATATAGATAAATGACTGGGAAGAGACGCAATGTTGAAAGCGTAGTAATTAAATACTCACAATTAATTTGGCTACTTTGGGTTGGGGAACTCGACCGGAGTCAGATAATTCTGTGCTAATTCTAAAGGATGGCGTGATATTAAAATCTGGACAAGTGGGCTGAATATGTGTCACAAGAAATAGTATATTTTTTTCATTCTATTTTATATCTCTATAGGCCATCTAACTATTGAAATCTCGGCAACTCTGCCTCAGGACTAATGGCAACTTTCATTGGGTGGCCTGAGAAAAGAAGGTCGCATTGTTCGACAGGACATTTGGCAAATTTTACTGGGTAACTCGTATTGTGGTTGAGCGATGCCGACAAACAACAATTATCAAAAATTGAAAAGGTGGAAAAAGAAGTTATTTTTAACCACAAACACTGCACGACAGAGTCATCTCGCCCTCACAAGTCCAGGAATTCAATTAAATAGACGGGGCGATGGGCGGAAGTGGAGGAACAGTGGAAATCTGCTGTGCTGGAGTTGTCTCCATTTATTTCCTGTCTAATATTGCAAGAAATTCTATACGTCAGACTTTTGGCGAGTTCAACCACAAAATTGAAAATGCCAACAAGTAGGTCATTCTGTTATTCTTTGCCTTCACCATTGCCCATTCGAATTGGACTTTTACGCTGTGTTCATCACATTGTAACTAAAGCTCTCCTCCTTGCCCCTTTGTGCCTCTGATGCCTCATCTCTCTCGCTTAGCGTCCATTTCAGAGCCACAGGTTTTTTGTGTGCTCTTTCTCAGCCCAGGAGAATACATTTCCACCCAGTTTTCCACTACTCACCACATCGATTATTTGCATCAGCGTTAGACCAAAGCTGAGCTGCAGTGGATCAGATTCATTCACCACTGGACGTTCCAGAACATTGTACGGATCCAATAAATCGTGCAGAAGACGTTTTTCGTAAATACCCGCCTTACAGCCTGCAAGAAAAGAGGAGAAGAAACGTCAGACGTGCTTGAGAGAAGAATAGCGGAGTAAGATTAAGAATTATTGAGTATGACGTGTGTGTGTGTGTGTGTGTGTGAAATTTACGGGGTTGAAGAACCCCTCATGCATGCTCCATCACTTTAGCCCACGAGCAAAGGAAAACACTTAACTCTGCAAAATATATACATACGCACTGCTCATGGATCGACTAATACAGGGCCAATGGGAGTTTTAACTGCGCCTCCCTCCCTCGTGCCATTTTATATTCGACATTTCCGCTTGCTGCCCCTCAAGCCATTCCCTTAAACGAGAGCACACTCGCAAGAACAAGTAGATTCTTGTCTATTTAAACAATTATCCTGATTACACTGATTATGAAGCGAAAGAAGAATTTACTTATGAAACTTCATATTAGATTATCTCATTTAAATGAAAATGGAGAAGCCATTCTCATTCGACAGACATTCGCCTCAAAGTCCTCATATGACAGCACAAAAATCTAATTGCACGCCTGATCCATGTGCAATCTCGCCTTAACTAACTTCCTGGCAACTCGAGCGATATTCTAATTTTCTCATCTACATAAGGATTAATCTGCTGCTCAAGAGAAATAAAAATGGGATTAACTCTCCGAGACTCGGATGACATAGGAAAATTCTGCTGAAAGGATGAAAATAGATTTGTCACTCAAACTTTGCTATTTACCAACACACAGAGTTTCACAAAGAGAGTATTTAAATTTGCTCTTCACATGCAGATGGTTTTATGAAACAAACAAGATGAGATTAAAATATCTTTTTAATCATATAGAGATGATAATAATTCGCTGTATAGAAGTTAGTCAAAATTCAGTAAGAAGCATGATTAAAATTTTCACATGTCTGTCTATCATTTTAAACGTGCAGTGCCGTTTAATTTGCAGTACATGTTCCCTCCCTCAAAGTGAAAATTAACTTATCTACCCTGGTTATTGAATGTTGCACGAAATAGTGGTGATCGTTACCTTGTACGTGCCAATACTCAACGGAACGGCCTAGAAGAGCTCATCAATGCTTGGGAAGATTTCACGTCATTCCACCAACTATTTAGGCCTCTATTCCATGTGATTCCCTCCCTAATTTCGCTCTAACAACCCCCTAGACTTGGGCGGCGACCCCTCGGAGTTGTGCTGCTCATTCTCAATTCATGGCAATTGAGTGTCGAAAGATGTTGCATGAATTTCTCAATATATCTCATGAGAATGGCCGGGAGACTAGAGATTATTTAATTTTCACGCAATTTTGAGACTTATTTATGATGGCTCCTCTGGTGAACAAGTCAGTGACGGGGGAGAGTCTTTAGAAAATACTGAATAAATGAGATGTATTTATCTGGTGATGGTTTTCGTGCGCCTCCATTGAAAGTCAAGATTGATGGTGATGCTGCTGAAAGAGTTTCTGAATAGATTTCTTCGAAAAAATTTCTCCTAGATGGTCTCTTTGACAATGTCTTCAACTCATTTGCATTTGAATGAAGCCCAAAAACAAAGAACTAAAGAGAAGACCTGTGGAAATATGAGATATTTTGCTGTCAGTGTGCTAATTTCGTAGTTTTATCTCTATTTGGGTTGCAATTTAAATTTTAATAAAACTATTCTTATTCATAGGCATTTTGACTGGATTTTGTTACGTGGAAAATGCGTATTTCTCACTACAAACGCGTTAATAATTCACATGGTATATATACAATTGGGATGGCTGGGTGTATAAAATTAGAATTTTTGATTATATTCCTCCCCTCGACTTGCAGTACGGCTGTCTGTGCTATTTTTCTACACACGACGGCACACATTTTGCGACGATGAAAATGGGTCAGACGATGTGCAAAAATCATTATTACGGAATATATATCCCCCAGATTTGCCTTCTCTGGCTTATAATCTCAACACAAATGCTTTGGTCGTGGAAAGAAGGCAAAAAATCAATTTCCCCTTTGCGAGCTTTTTTCTTCCTCTGCCACCCACCACTCTTCTTGTGCATCTCTGAGCCATTGGAGAAAAAAAAAACTCTCGTCCCTCAGCGGTAATGTTCCGGGATCTCACTTCCGCGTGGTATCATTAGCATGTTGGCAGATCGGTGGGGCGCGAGGGTGGCGGCCGCGGGAGAAAAAATCGAAGCTGCAGATGATTTTGATGCACGCCAGCAGGCCGTGATGTAGTATTTTGTGGTGTAATCCAGGCTGATGGCACGCAGTGCGATCCGACAGGTATGTGGCAGTGCAAGTGAAAAGCTTGAAGCAGCCCCACCCACACGCCCACAATCGGTCAAAACAGTAACCGGCAGTGCGCACAGAGCGCCAGAGAGCGCAAGAGAGGAGCGCGAGAGAGTGAGAGAGGAATTTTAATACATATCGAGCTGGGGAGTATATAAAAAAGCGAGGCAAAATATCTGGCTCAAGGGGTGCTCAATTTCCACCATGGCGGGGGCTTTATACCCTCCAAAACACCCCCGACAATCACCCACCAAGTGGAGTATGCAAAAATCCCCGCAACTCAGTGGATGGGATCAAAACAGTGTGCGATATCGGGATATTTCGTCAATGAGATTGGGAATTGTGTGTGCCGCACAAGATGGAATTTGGGATGTCTCTGATCTTGTAACCCTCCTTGTTGCTCTCCTCCACTTGGAATTCCATTAATTTCTCTGACAACAGAGGTCCTGTGTCTCTGAAGAATCTATGGAATATTTGCCATTTAGAGCATGTTAACTATCCAATCTGCAGGATATCCTGCCTGAAAACATATGTGCATATTTCACTGTGAGACAAGCAGGAATTTCAGGGTTTACTGCTGAGGAGTATGTTTAAATTTTTTTCTATACCAATTCTCCTCCATTGTTAATAATCTTGCATCACTTTATGAAATACAGACAGTTCAGTGTTGTAATAGATTGCAGAAAATTTGCAAATTCGATTGGGTAGTTATTGGAAGCAAGAGGGAGATAATATGCCTGAAATTTGTACACCACTTTCTAAAACTTCCAAATAAGTTTGACACTTCTAGCGCTTGAAATTCTCACATTATAATATATATCTAAGGTTTCCAGTCGATATTTCTATAAAAATCGATTGAAAAACGATTTTTTGGGGTAAAAAAAGCACTCAGGACAGGAAAATTGTAAGCTTTTAAACATTTCCATTCCCCAAGACTTCGGCTAAGCTGTATACCACTTTTGACTGTATTATCTCCCCCTTGGCTGGAGGTTTTCATCGGTTATTTATTGATGCTTTAAAACTCATATAAGCTGAACTCGAAAAACCACAATATTTTTTTTAATTAAGCAGACAATCAACGCATTTGTTCTCCCCTCGTGTTGATATTGAAGTTGGAGGAAAGAGTCAGTAAGCTTGGATTAAAAGGCTTTCCCTGGCCAAATGATAAAACAACCCGATAGAGTGGAATTGAATTCCATCGGCATCATACTTCCATGCATGCGTAGCAAGTGGGTGGTGATATTTTGATATTGCGTATCAATAAACACAAACACACGAATGTGATCGTAAAAGAAACTTTACTCCCCCGACACGGGCCTGAGGTGTTGAGGCAGACACTGAGTGATTTCATGGGCTTGTGTGTCACTCTGTTGAGCCTTGTCTCCATCCGAAATAAAGTGCAAAATGCCAGCTCGTGGAGCAATACGGGGCGGATGGATGTCTACACTTTGGACTGGAAAGGCTCATTAATATTTAACATCCACACTTCATGGATCTCCCGTTCGCATTCACGCACTCCTTGTAAGCACAAAAGCGGCTAACACAGGGCCTGTTGGAAAAGAGAGCCTCTAAATAAACACTTGCGAGCAGTTTGCAGAGTGGAAGTTCAAATTCCGAAATGGCTACACACACTCTCTTGAGCGTCTACAGTGCGCAATCGATTGGGAGTGATAAGAAAGAAAAGTTGGTGGACTGTAAGTGAGTGGGTTCATTTTATCATTCGGCGATTTCCAGAATGTGTCTCCCAGAAAATGCTCTCCTTTTATAATCGCCCAGGAATTTGTCCAAATAAACAATCTCCAAGCCTGCTTCTCTCACCCACTGGTCTGAGTGTCTAAAAGAGCTGACATCTTTGGAACTTTACACATTATTTCCTTGTTTTGTTTTGCCACAAAATATGCCAGCATATCTTGTTCATATATTTTCCCAGACAGTGTTTATGGATGATAGTAAACAAATGGCGAATTTGAAATTTTTTGATACTTCGTATAACAAATTGAATTTATTTCCTTCGAAACTTTCCTCTCTGCCAGAACGAAAAAAAAGAACTTGCGCAAACTTTAACCATACCACTGCAGGGCAATTAAGTAGATCTAATATTATTCAGACCTGAAATAGAATCACGTAAAGTGCCTCGATGGTAATAGATTGTGTTTGCCCTCATGGTGGAAATTATTAAAGTGAGTGGCGGCTGAGAGTGCTCGAGAGGCCGGCAAAAAAGATTCAACGGAGAGTAACTTTATTGTGTATATGAAGCACGCGAAGAGCTTTTGAGCACAAACATCCATTCTTGAGAGTGCAGTAACATCAAGTTTGACATGCTCGCGGGTGGGCAAAAGCGCTCATTGGCAGACTTTTCGGTTTGAAACTTACAAAACATATTGCGGAAACTCGACAGATTTTTACGTGTATTCCAAGTCACTGAAAAATTTAATACATCTTCAATTTTGTAGTTCCATTAAAGAATCTCTTTTCAGAATAACCCAAATATTTGTTATTTTTCTACGAAAGAGAATTGTATGAAATTCATTGCAATGAAGTTTTCTGTACTGCCAGGATGTTTTCCTGTTTTCTCATGATTGGTAGAGAAAATTTTTAAAAGCATCGTGCTTTGCACAATTTTCCGCAGTCACAGCATGATTCTGTCCAGTTGCTTTGGAGGTAGGAGAATGAATGCAATACATGACGTGAAACACAAAGAATAGCTCATGCTGCATGTTTGGCATACAAAATGCACACGTATAAGTTTTTCCGGATGAAAATTTCATCTCTGAAAGCACGTTTCGGTGTGTTAGAATGTATCAAAAGGTGGAAGACACCTCGCAAGAACTGAACTTTGCCTGGTCCGTGAGAAAGAAGTTGATATTCAGCATGGTTAGTTGGAGTTGAATTTATTTACCCTTTCGCCTGTGGGTGGAATTGAGAAATTAGAGGAGTTAAGTTTCCAAACATAAATATTTGGATTTTCCATGTTTCCGCCCGTGGAATTTTTGGCTATGGGGCAACCCAGAGTTTGTGTGCCATAGAGAAGAATGAACTTCAATAGCAGAGAGTGTTTTCGAAAGGCGCAGTGGGTGAGGGCGAGAAAGAGAGAGTGAAAAGCCCCCTAAATCTCGTTTAATTTATGAATGGTACTTTGACTGGGTGGCTTTCTGAAAAATTATCAATTAATCGATTCGGTGTCTCACCAGTTGCCTCGACTACACCAATTTACGCGCTGATAGATAGCCCACCTATTGATTGCAAAATCCCGCCGAGGTATAAAAAGGCACGTTCGCCTTAGTTGAATCCGGTAGTTTGTGTCATTCTGTGTGACAAGTGCCGTGAAGTATAAGAGTGGATTCTACAATGGAGTATCGTTTGGTGTGCGTGGCCCTCTTGGCCCTCACCATCGGCCAGGCGTTTGGGACCGAGAGGGTGGATTTGGACGACAGGTGAGAGCGAGAGGACAATGCCAGGCACATCAATCAAGGCGACTACATATAAAATTTCTATCACTTTAGATGCTCCCAAATATATCCTCCGTGTGATCACCCAAGAACCCAAGCCCTTCTTCCGCTCCTTGACGACCTGGAGTCTAGAAATATGCAGCGCGCCAGCATGAACACTTACATGGACTACGTCTTGACGTACATAGCGCCGATTTTCCGGGACTCCGGCATGGTTCCCATGGATTTGCCAGACACCTCGATTGGCTGGGAGGCGGTAAGTGAGCAAATTGGAGGGAAATCCTCTCGCAAACTAATTGATGAGCGGAGATGGAACTCACAAACTCGGGGGATGAGCGTTCACGCATCATCGGAGCGACATAAATCACTCCGGCATCCGGATAGAACTGTCACAAGGAGGATACATTCAGTGGTGGCCAGTTTTTCCTCTCAAAAAATTTCCAGTAAATGCGAGAGTCTTGTGACGAGGGTGGCCAATATGTAGGTATTTCGGATGATTTCGCTGATAAGTCTTAAGTCGAGTTAATGCTCGATAAGGAAAAACGATACTGGCTATTATTTGCCATGAATTTCTTCACAACAAATTACTGCAAACTCAGAAGAGTGGGGCAGAAGTGTGTTTACTAGTCATTCCAATAATTCTTGTTTTTTTTCATCTCTTCCTCTTTATGGACTTTTCTAATATCTGGAGGAGATTTTTTCGTGTGTGATAAGGATGGGAATTTGAAACACGAGACGAAACGGAAATATACTTGAAATGCGTTCTAATTCTCAGTGCGATTACCCCTGGATTTTCACTGCGATGTCTTCTAATGACAGGTTCATTTTGAAAAGCTAAATATTTGATGGGAAAACGTATGTAGGTCGTATTCTATTCCAGAATTATGGAAATTGCAATAGTATTCCCATGGGAAATTCATGGATGGTTTACCACGAACATGATAAGCAATAAATCGTACTTTCGCACGACATTCAGCTTCTTCGTGTTATTACGCCGAACAATTTTAATGTTATATTCTGTGCTTTTGAAGTCACTAGAGTAGGCACTCAAATCAGACTGCAATGATCTGGCTCACATCAAATTACCCTCACCCTATCGATTGCTCAGCATTCTTGTTTATCATTTCCACCCAAACCACTGGCAATTGATGGTGTATTCCCTCTCTTTCCCATTCAGCAACCAATTTGGATAACGTACGGTGGCATCATTGACTTGCACAATGGCCTTCTTCACGACATCGAGAATGTATTCCGGGCGGGCAACTGCTACTTGTCCTACAATCGCCAACTCCTCAGGATGGAGATTTTGTCCCGTCTCTCGAGGATGCCGGTAAGTCGGAATGGGCGGCAATGGCTGAGCCAGGAGTGAATTTAAATATTCATTTGCAGTTCCACTACGACTACGAAACACGTGTGATGGGCTTGGGCATATTCCGAGGTTGGGTTGAGGGCCACATGGAGAACATGGTGATGACTAAGGACTTCCTCCTCGACATGTTCGACTTCTTCCTCTTTATGCAGCACTTCCGTGTGCTCTCAATTGGCAATGTTCACGTGCGCGTCCGTGGCAACATTCTCACTGATTGGTTGGCAAATGTCATCATTGATATTGTTATCTTCTTCTTCGAGAACACAGTTGTGAACCTCGTCTCGGAGACACTCCAAGAATTCATCCAGGAAGTCATCGATGAAACTAACGCCAACCGCGTGCGCTTTTCCGCGCTTTCTGGCGTGCTCATGGAATCACTGCAAGACCCAAACCCACCCTCAATGGACAAGTTTGGCGACGATGTCATGAGAATGTTCCAGAAGCGCATCAACGTATAAATATTGCGACCTTTGGCAATGCAAAACCAATTTAGAAAATAAGTGTGCAATCCTTAGTTATTTATTGCATTTGCAATTTTAATATTATGAGAGAATAAATTAGTTTTAACACCAATTTGCAGTACCTGATAGCTCATTAAGCAAGCAATATTGTGTGGATGATTAATAAATAGAGATAAATAAAGGGACATCACTACATGGGCAGTATGCGAAGCAATAAAACTTGACAACTTTTCCCATTTTCCCTCGGAACTAATTTAAATTGTGACATGGAATTTTATTGTGAAGAGATGCGCGAAATTGATAAATCTTCATGCTGACAATGGGCGGAGCACACGAGTGGGAGTGGCTTATGAGACATTTATCTACCGCTGTTTCTAATTGCTCAATTTAAGTCATCTATTTTGCATTCTAGTTCCAGACGAAAGTCGTATCATACTTTATGCAAATTGTAGAATAAAAAAATACAATTTCGCTGATAGAGCCCAATTTTCAAATCTCAATATCAATTTAGGCTAATTCGCTATGGAATATTTGGCAAATCCCGCGGCACAGCTCGAATGTCTGCGGCGGCAAAACGACGGGAAGAAGTACATATAGTTGTGAGTAATTCCACCCCCCAATTGGCATATTTAGGTATTCATCTCATGGGAGATGTATCGAATTTATCAATAGCGACTCCACAATCCCAGCCCTCGTGACTGGGCTCAGCAATTTGAGATGCTGCCTAGGATGTTTTTCACCCTTCGTGTCGGATTTATGTGTGTGGTCTGCCGTAGTACCATTAATATTTCAATGTTATTGATCATAAATGACAAATAAAATTTTTTTCCGTCAACATTTTTATTGTCCGGAAACAATTCCCACACAACATCCGGCTGGAACTGTAAAAGAGAATGAGAGAGATGGGCCAGAATAAAGCCACCACAGCGGATGATATTTGATGGCTCCATTGGTTTCTCACGGTGTATTTGCCATCAGCAACTCAGGGTGGGCTCGTTTGGGGTGGAACAGCCAAAGCGAAAACACAGCGCTTCTCCAACACCTAATCTCCAGGCTCCCGGGGCGAGTCAACACCCAGGACACGCGTGGCGTTATCTAATCAGCCTGGTCAATGCTGGGCCACCCATTAAGGCTGGCCCAGAGTGAGTGTTGTCTGCAGAAATGCAATTAGGCGGTCTTGCGGTGGGGCGCTCCTTTCGCCGGACTCTAAGTGTATTGTGGTGGGCATTTCGTGTGTATGAATTCTCGATTGAAAAGCACTGAAGTGGAGAACCAGAGGGTTATTGTGTGCTGTAATGTTATGAATATAAAAACTTATAGTCAGCACAGTCTTTCGTGCTTTCTCTCTCTCGCCACTTCCGTCATATATAGTCACATTTCCACTAAAATGCCTTTCTATTGCTGGCGCCTCTGCGCCATCCTTCAACGTTCCTCCAACCTATGGGCTCGGTTTTTCCTTCCTCCCTCCGATAAAGTGCTTTGGCGAAGAAAAAAACGAGAGAGAACTTTATGTGGTGCACCATAAAAAAGAATGCCGTGGAATCAATGAACCAGTCAGTCACTCGGTTAGTCCATTTGTGCCACACTGAAATGCTCCCCCCAGCGATGATTCTGTCAGCATCCCCAAATTCGCTTACGACACACTCACCGTGCAAATCCCAACAGCTTGAGCCTCGCTGGCTCACGTGAAATCACATATTTTATTCCCGTGAACTTTTCCTTATCAATCTTTGCAACCGTCATCGCTGTGGAGATTCGCATTAGAATGCAAGGCATAATGGGAAGTTTTCGAAAGTTTCCCGAGCTTTACATTTCAGTGGAGGATTGAGACGTTGAAGAATATGTATAAATTGAAGCGTAAAGGTAAATAACAGGTTTGATAAATTCTCACTTTAATTAATACTCGCTTGGTTGGATAGCGAAAAACTTATTTTCATTAGATTTGAAATTTTCACTGAAATTTATCCAGAGAGAATCACATTGTCGAAAAAGCACGTTTAAAATGTGTCTTTTTGTCCCTCCATTTTATATGTCTTGTATGTTTTGCTGAGATACATCATTTTCTGCAGGTCAATACACTTTTACCCGGGTAAAGTATGAGCGTGTGACAACATCCTTCGGACACAGAAGAGCTTGATGAGGACTTACTATCGCCGTCCTGAGTGAGACTGGCTGTATCTTCTGTACAATAAATTTTAAATGTCAACCACCAAGTATCTCTTCCGCGATGTGTGCTGGTTTAGAGTTGGAAGCATGTATAAAAAGCATGTTATTGCCATCATCAATCTTGAAATGCTTTACTTGGCATGTTATCCTCAAATACACCACGGCTACAGCATTTGAGGCAGGATAAAAATGCTGCCACACCATCGGTGGTACTTTTTGTCTCGCGGAATATGTTGAGGAATTTTAATTAAATCCCACGCGGGAGTGTTATGTACTGTATTTAATTACCCATAGTAATCCGCTGTATTAATAGCTTAATAAGAATATTAAGATCCTCCAGTGGACCTATTCATAATCTTTCATCTCTCATCGCCAGATTTTATGAGAATGGCTCTCCGTCCCTCGCAAATCCAATTGCATCTCCCCACTCATCGATAGGTAAATGGATATATTGATATTCTTGGGCTGTAATAGCCTTCATTTATCAATCATATCCGCCCCAGGGGCTGAGGGATGAGCGTGAGGAACACCAGGGAATACCAGGGGCCATTCTTTCTCACCGGCCACCACCCATCCACGTCCAATTGAATTTTAATGTATCCCAGAGCACAGGAATATCTCACCGGAGAGGCTCATTTTATGGGAGCCACACAATTTGCCTATGCCTTTTGCAATGTTATTAATAGATGAGTCCAGTGGAAATCACGGGAAAAGGCTCAAAGTTTTTTTTAGAGAAAACTTTTTCGAAGAAAACATACAATCAATAGAGGCTTTCCATTGAAAATGACGTCAAATAAACGCCAAAACGCCTCCCAAATTTGAATCCCCTGTGACAGATTCAACCTTGTTATAGAACTTCATGAACAACTATAGCGCACATTTAACGATGCTCGCACTCTCCACCCAAAAATGGGCCACACATCCTCCCCCTTTTGTTTTTGTTACCGTGGAAGACGTGAAGGAGATTAAGCCACTTTATTGATTGCCTTCTGCTCAGTAGACACATTCAGTGGAATTTCACTGGGGAAAATAGCAACATTTAATTATTGCTGAATTAATGATAAAATTTCACACGCCTCAATTCTTCCCCGATGATCCATTATGAGTGCTTGTCTCTGGGAATTTCACTGTGCACTCCACACAACATATGAAAGACTTTGGCAAAGCAGCACTACTCGAGTTTTGGGGTGGTATTTATTGAATTATCCATTGGTGGAGGGAAAATGTTGAAAGCCACTCAAAGAGGTCCATATTTGATACATAACTCTTGTGTGTATGTGAGCTTTGACAATTAATTTAATGCCCATTTCGAGAACTTTTTGGTGCCTACGCACCATAAAATTCAAAAAGCTCAATGAATGCGACAATTTACTGCCCACCAAAGTATCTCTGGTGCTTCGTGCCAGAATTGTTGGTCACATCATTTACCAATTAAGTGTTATTTGGATTGTTTTTGGTGGGGGTCGCAAAATTGAATATAATGTAAATGAATAAAATTCACTCCATCTCCAAAATTTGTACACATCTCACCATTTTCGGGCACACATTAAAAGTTTTTAAATGATGGATTTTGTCTATGATTAAACTTTAATAAAAGTTTTGGTTTCAAAAACTATCGAAAGTTTGACATGAAGTGAAATATTTTTAAATTCTTTATACATTTCAGCTTCAATAAATTTTCCAAACTGTCTTTTCAACATGACGGCAAAATTTTGCATTCAGCAAAATTATTATAAAAATTATATGACTCTTGCATCATCCAAGAGAATTTTAAACAAACAAGGGCTGGACTTAACGGATTACATGTAAAAAATTACAATTTTTCGATATGCAAATTGTTACTACAAAGCGAAAAGTCAATTAAAAATAATCTCTTTTCAGAGTGATTACTGCGCATATATAATTAGGTTCTCACTGAGTAAATTGCACAGCAGAACAAATAATGTAATTTTACCAAAATTGTATTAAATTTCGGGCAAAATGCCATGTGTTATTGAATATTCAACATCAAGTTAAATTAGCAGACTTTAATAAATTGAGTGCCTCTTAGATTTTCCACTGTGCAGCTTTGCGATATTTTTCTATTTTCAAGCTTGTCAGGTAAGTTAATGGCTCAATAAAGTTCTAAAGAAACTTTTAGACGTTACTAATCAAAAGTTATTGTAGCGTGACATGAGTGACTGTACGATAAATATAACTTCCTGTTAATTATTTGCCTGCCATTTCGTTTTAAGTGCTTTCCATTGGCTTTGTGAATGTTCAGAAGGGTGGCGGTTTTTCATGCAATTATGTATGTATGTAAAATTTGTTTGAAAAAAAAATTCAATAATACTTACACAATGGTTGACACAGGAAGTACAAGAGAAATACGGAACAGAAAATTGTCCATCTTCGTATCCACAATTGGTGTCTCATCACTGATTTTAAAATACTCAGTTTTAGAATCATTCTTCTACAAACATTTACTCTATTTTCAACTTGTCTACTTCATTCATCAGAACATTAATTTCAGTTTATGCCTTATATAATACATTTATTAATTTATTCATTTAGAGTGTGCGTTCTTTCTGCGTCGATTTCTTTTTAAGTAAGCATCCTTCCACTATACTTAGATGTTGGAGATGCTCGCGAAAATCGTATTATAACCGTCGTCACCTTAATTTATTACCTCTGTTGGCTTAGAGCCCAATTAATGCCATCAATGTGTTTCAAATTGCGTCTAAGATTTTATTCATCAGTTAGTTTATGCAATTAGTTTAGCTTCATGTGAAGTGTGTGGCACTTTCAGACGATTTTATGTCGTCTCCTTTCGACTATATATTTCTTATTTC